AAGAGATGTAAACACATTACCCAGTTTAATTTACGGACATCAGGCTATCACAAATATTTTAATTCGCTCACCTGAGTACATATCAGAGAAAATTTTATAGTCTACGATTTACTGTAGTCAGACGCGAAAACATATTTATATAAAATATTTAAATTAAACCAGTATCAAAACTTTCCACGTAAACTTTCTGCTTATATATATCTATCAATCAAAAAATATAATATTACCCACATTTGCAACCCACGACTTAATCTCGAGCGAGATACAATTATTCTGGTCTGTACCGGCAGCCGGATATAAGATCATTGTTTTTTACGGATAAATGAGCCGCGTCATGAAAAAATGAACATAATGGGTTTGCGACCAGCATGGATCTAGATCAGCCTGCGCATCCGCGCAGTCTGATCAGGATCCATGCTGTTCGCTATCAGTTTCTCTACTTGTTACAGGGTTTGCAAGCGAAAGCATGGATCCTGATCAGACTGCGCGGATGCGCAGGCTGGTCTGGATCCATGCTGGTCGAAAATCCATTATGTTGGTTTTGTCATGGCGCGGCTCAAATATATTCTTGCATACGAATGTATAAAGTAGCGGAGAAAGGAAACAAACATCAACGGTTAAATCGCGAGAGCTTGCGCCGATGTTGCAGGTTTTTGTAATGCGTCCTTAAACACTTTGCATTTTTGCACCGTAGGGTGCCAGGTAAAAACACAACAAAATTACGGAAAAGTAACCATTTTGTCGTTCTTTCTCTCTGCGGGGCGCCAATTGAAAAAAACCGGTGAATTTGTCGTGTTTTCATCTGGCGCCCCTCGGAGAGAAAATACGACATAGTATAAATCAGCCACCATACTTAAATAACATCGTGTAATAAGATTACTTCCCTTTATTATCTGTTCTTTCGATAAAACCTCTATTGTTCATTAAATACGTTTATATATACTTTTTTACTTATTTGTTAGTCATAAAGTTATTCATTTTATGCTTAAAGGTAAGATTAAAATAGTTTATATTTCCATGATTTATATATTAAAATAAATCTTTTGTTTATGACAAAGTCAATATAACCAAAATGGTACATTCATAGTTCGCATTTGGTTAGCCATCCTAGATATTAAATATCGCTCACCCTGAGTAAATCTCAGAGGAAATTTTGTAGTCTACCATCGGTAGATGTTATCACAAGTAGAAGACTAAATCGTGAATCTTCGAAGAATTTGCCGTAACAGTTCATAATATATACTAAATAAGTTTCAAGCGAGCGTCTGACTGCAAAATAAATAGTTCCTTCCCATTTCTAACTTCTTATTAGCTTTATAATAATACCTTTAGACCGATTTACACGTTTGCAGGTATTTTTTAACCCTTAACTTCATATTTACGCGAAACAACTCACTTTCGACCCCCCCTCGTTTAGGTCTCAAATAGTGAAAGAATAGTGAAAAAAATTCTATTCAAGCTAACAAAAACTTTGTTTTCGTTAGAAAAAGTGATCACCTTTTTTCGGCGCCGCCCCTATCAGAAAAATACATCAGGGAAAGTGCTTCCTTCTGTCTCGGAGTTTGAAGGGGGGCATTAGCACACCCCCTCCCCCACTCATCGCCAGGAATATTTTTAACTTGTAAGAGGCTAAAATTGGCCTCAGGTCTATCGGAAGGTAAGATGAAACCAATGCTGAAAAGCCTTTGACTCTTTCTCAATCCATTGAGAAGTTACAGCACTTTGAAATCGGTTTGGATGGAAAACATCTACGCAAAATAGTGTATTTCAGTAATTTTGAGTTGTCCCCTAGTTGTCATGGTAACAGTATATTTAAGATTATGCATGCCGTTACAAGGGCTATGGTCCAGTCAATATTTATGCCGAGTTTGATGAATATTGAAACATGTTTTATAGTTTAATAGCAATCTGAACTTGTAACAGGAGGATTTTCAATGACAACAGCCATTTTTCATAAAATGCTCGTGCAGTAATGGGTTAAAGCTAAAAAAATTAACCAACCAAAAACTAAACTAGAATGAAGAACGTGTACTTGATTTTGAGTTATGAGTTCCCGAAAGTATACTTAAAGAATAGAAAGGAAAATAAAATTTTAATGAGTAATCAAAACCGCTCAATTTCAGGGGCATTCTACCTTAGTATGTAATCTATATGGAATCTTAGGATGCCACCTTCGCGAATACGCCTTTACACCGTTGCCGTTAAAAGGATATCACTTAGCTACATGATATTTCATAATATCATTATTTTGTAAATAAACAAGAATCAACCTTATAAACATTTGTGGACATTGATGACAAGGTGATCAGAAGTAACATGTTGTTTTCTGTTGATTATGAACGATCAGCAGAAAATAGAATATTAACCTTTTATCTCATATAGACGTGTTTGATGACCCCCCGCCCTCCTCTTTTGAGGCCTCAAACAGTGAAAAAATGACCTATTTAGGCCCCAAATACTGTTTATCGATTGAGAAATGTTGTTAAAAAAGTAACCACATTTTTCGGCGTCGCCCCCATCAAATTCGCCAAGAAAATGTTGGACATGTGACAGGCTAAAATGGCCTCAGGTCGATCTAAAGGGTAACTAGTAACCGGCGCTGAAAAGCTTTTTACTTTACCTTTATTCATTGATAATTTGCAGCACTTTGAAATCAGTTTTGATGGAAAAAAACAATGCAAAATAGTGATTTTTCGCAATTTTGAGTCGCCCCCCGTTGCCATGGTAACTGGAAATTTACAATTGAGCATGCTGCCCCTGAGGATATGTTCCAGTCAACATTTTTGCCAAGTTTCATCAGTAATGAAGTATTTTTCATATCAGTTTGAACTTGTAACAGGAGGCATTTCGATGAAAATGGCCCTTTTTTACATGCTCATGGGGTAAAAGGTTAAAGTGACATCATGCCCATCCAAGGGTGTATAGTAAGTGAACGTGTGAAAGTCAAAATATGTTTTCATTTTGCCACAATTCCTTTTCATTTAATAATTAAGTTCACATACACAATAAATAACTCACAGATCCAAAAATATCCATAAGAATTTACCTATAACGGTTAGTTTATAAAAAGAGGGGGGCAGTCTTTTTAGATTTTTGACATATTTATAATTTTACCCTAAACATTTTCCAATAACAACTGTTGATCAATCACCATTTTGACAGTCAATCTTTTGAAATATAAAGTTAACTAAGCTCAGTTTGACCATGAAAATATGAGCATAATGTCACTTTAAAGGCGCATTATGCCACAGGCACGAGTATCGGACCTGGGATGAAAATATATGACCAGATTGATAATAAAACCTGTGTTCATCTTAAAAGTGTCAAAAACCAAAAACAAATTGTAAAAAATGACCCCCTTTAAAATATACTATAAGTAAAGAGAAGGCCGGAAACTCCAGATTCGAGCCTACGAGCAAGGGATTCATTTCCCGAGCCGTTGTTTTTTACATTTTTTTTTTGTTGGGTTTTTGACATTTTTAAGATGAACACAGGTTTGATTATCAATCTGGTCATATATTTTCATCCCAGGTCCGATACTCGTGCCTGTGCATTATGCCTCAGAAATGTTTTTCTCTCTCTCTCTCTCTCTCTCTCTCTCTCTCTCTCTCTCCCTCTCTCTCTCTCTCTCTCTCTCTCTCTCCATTTTTCAGATAGGGTAACCATGAGTTTTGTAATAGATATATCATTGGTGCGTTGACGATTTCTGGGTTTGCGTAAATTATACTTCGTCTCGTGAGGTTAAGGCATAAGAAAGGTCACGTGATTATGGTATAATTTACGCAAACCCTGAAATCGTCAGCGCACCAATGGTGTATCTGTTTTAACCTATAGCTCCGCCCAGAAACACTTACTCCTTCGATCTTCATAGTCTGGGTATGGTATAATTTACGGTTATTGGAAATTATACTTGGAAGAATTTTACCGCCTCCGTGGTCGAGGGGTTAGAGTCGATGACTTCTAATCCAGTTACCTCTCTGGCGTGGGTTCGATCCCCGGGAGATGCTTTGGTAGTTTAGCGCGGAGGAAGGTAGTCTAGTACTGGTTTAACTCTCCAGGAACGATGGTTAGGAAACTACCCGCCTATATGACTGAAATACTGTTGGATAAAGGCGTAAAATGAAACAAACAAACAAACAAACATAAGAAGCGCTGAAGAGCTATAGGTTAAATAACGTTTTGAACCGAGCGACAATGTGACATCACGACAACACGCCGCACAACAACGCGCCGTTTGGCGTGCATCGTTAGCGACAGGACGACAAGACAAAGTCCGACAACGTGCCGTAGTCTTCTTAGTTCGTAATTTAGGAGAATCGTGTTCGAATCCCGGCCAGGCCATAGCAAAGATCACAATAGACATATTACTATTATAGGACCTAAATACGCTGTTTTATTCGCACAGAGGCGTACCAAATCAGCCACCATAAGAAACAAACAACATTAAAATATGTACAAACCTAGACCAGATGGCTTATTGTGATCTGAGTGGGGGAGAAAATCAATGCTTGTTATGATCCATCTGCAACCTTTTAATATTTCATTTTGTTTTTCGTGGGATGAAGTGTAAAGCCCACTTTTGGGTGAAGAGTAAACCCCGCTAAAATACTATCTAGAACGTTTGTGCATTCAAGCCCCCATGCTGATCACAAAAAGTCACGTGGTTAAGACACCGTGCTAGAGACTAAAATGATTTCAACTGTTGTCGTCTTTCATTGTTAGAGAAGAATACTATTATAGCAGAATGTTTCAATTGCGAAAGACAAATAAGGTGTAAGGGTCCTGTCTAATTTTAACACGTAATTTTTAGTGGTGGCAGGTAATCCAGTCTGGCAAAGTTGGAGCAGGAAACCGCTGCAAATATTGACCATCCGACTACCATACTATTTATCATGTAATTTTGATGATGTCAAAACAAAACGATCATTGATGTAAATATTTTATTTGTAAAAATTTAATTGCAGAAGGTAAAAAGTACAATCTTTTGTAAAATGAGAAACGTAATTTCAGATGTGATACACGTTTGGCTTAGAACGGCTGGCATCATCTAGTTATAGATTCTACCTCTGAATGAACGCCGTACATGGGTTCCTGCAAAAGAAATTGAACAATTTGTGACATTCTATAAATAATTTTCACGTCCGAGGTAAAAAGGTAAAACGATTTTAATTATCTAATCAAAAACATTATTCAACTAGATGCTGGCATGCAGTGGTCTGGTGGCGATAAGATTGATCTCGCATACCGGGCGACGAAGGATCGATTCCCGACTCTAGCTATATCAAAACAATAATAAGTATAATATTTGTAGCAACTCGTCTTAAGACGTTCACCAGGCGTATCTTGTTCGAATCCCGGTCAGGCTATAGCAGAGACCATAATAGAGAAATATAACTAGTAGGACCTTGCTTGGCAATCTAAAACACGCTGTAATAAAGTTGGTTTAGGTACCGTCTTCCCTTTTTGTATTGCGGCCCTTGCTTTGCTTTGATTGCTATTGCCAATTCGCTGGCGACAAGACGCCGCACAATAACACGACACCACGCCACACGATAACCTGCCACACGATTAACTGACTGAGAATTTTAGAAGTATAGCAGTAGATCACCGTGGCTACTGTCGATGTTTAAGTCCCAGATACCTAGCTATATTATACCATGTAAGACAAATTGTATCTCCCTCTATCAGTTACAAGTAAGCTAAAGGGTAACATAGGAACCAAAACTGTGACATGTCTTTAAATATTTACATGAAAAGCAGTACACACCTATTGCTATATTGTATGAAGAAATGTTGTCAGGATTAAAGCTGATACCAGAAGCGGAATGCATAAAGAGGAATAACAGCCACTTGACACAATTGGACCCTGAAACAAATAATGTGTATGTTTGGTTACAATACAAGCTTTATTATTGCAATTGAAATTGAACCGAAATGTGCACATTAAAACCAAACTGATTTGTGACAGATACCAACAGCATTCTTCAGTAATATAAGATATGGTTTATAATACCAAACAATTAAAGTGCTCCATACTAAATATGCAAAACACTTCGTCCTAAACAACTAAGCAAAGCGCACAAAAACTAAGCAACTTAACATGGCGGCGCACTATACTAAACAACCAGACAAAGCACTCCATACTAAACAACTAAACAAAGTGCTCGATACTAAGCAATGTACTTCATACTAAACAACTAAATACAGTGCTGCATACTAAACAGCTTAGCAATGCGCTCCATACTTAATAGCTAGCTAAACAAAGTTCTCCATACTACATAACTAAGCAAAGCGTTCAATACTTAGCAAAACGTTCCATACTAAACAAAGCGTTCCAAACTAAGCAAAGTGCACCAAACTAAACAGCTGAACAAAGCGTTTCATACGAAACTACTTAACAAAGCGCGCCATACTAAACAATATAACTAAGTGCTGCATTCTAAACAGCAGCTTTTGAGTGAAGAAATTAACCCTCATATGTCAAGACAAAAAATCATATCTAACATACAAACATTGATTTAAATGGCATTGTCATATTAATTATATTCCATTATTAATTAACATGTATACATACCCAAGTTGTCCAGGTCTGGTGCGTAGTCCATGCAAAACATTGTACTGTGAAATAGAAAATAATTGAGATTGTCACGATGCATTCATTTTTTAAAAAAATATTTCAGCTCAATTGTATTAACCAAATTCAAGTCCACTTCATGAAGCAAACGTCGTGACCCGGGTAGGGCTCGAACCTGTGATCTTTTGGTTGCATGGCAGACATTTTAACCGCAATTCCATTGGTTGAACCACTTTGACTCAGCATCAATTATTGTGTTATATTATTCATAAAAAGTTTGAAAAATGACTGGAATTGTTCATTTTGTTGTTTTAGGGATTTCAATAATGAAATTCAAATACATATCTAAGCAGGTAAAAACATTTATGCCGCTGATGTTGGAAACCCAGGCTATTTACCGTATAGTATAATTATATACGTAACATGTACCGTGGGTTAGGATGTTTTTAATTTTATCGAAACGAATTTAACTACGATTAAAAGTGTTTAGATTTTTATTACAGTTGAAATAAAGTGACAAATACTGATACCATTGATAAACTTCAGAGGTATGTATTTTTGCAACTATGTCTGTTAATTTCTAATAGTTATCATATAGTATTCAAATACATGTATAATTCAACGTTTTGTTCGAGTAGCTAATTAAAAATATATGTGATAAAATAATTTATACGTCATTTTCAATCATAGTTATACTTACCAGACATATGTAGAATGACGAGCACCATACATAAAAATGACGTCATTTTCTCCTATGGTATGTTTCTTCTACTTTCAATAGAAATGATATTTGTTGCCTGGAATATGAAATAAATTGTATAATTATGTTGTCTGCAATTATAGTGATATATGCAGCCTTCAATGATAATGAAATACGCAGCCTTCAATGATAATGCTATATGCAGCCTTCAATAATAATGATATTTGCAGCCTGCAATAATAATGATATTTGCAACCTGCAATAATAATGATATATGCAGCCTTCAATAATAATGATATATGCAGCCTGCAACAATAATGATATATGCAGCCTGCAGCAATAATGATATATGCAGCCTTCAATAATAATGATATACGCAGCCTTCAATGATAATGCTATATGCAGCCTGCAACAATAATGATATATGCAGCCTGCAATAATAATGATATTTGCAGCCTGCAATAATAATGATATTTGCAGCCTGCAATAATAATGCTATATGCAGCCTGCAACAATAATGATATATGCAGCCTGCAATAATAATGATATTTGCAGCCTGCAATAATAATGATATATGCAGCCTGCAACAATAATGATATTTGCAGCCTGCAGCAATAATGATATATGCAGCCTGCAATAATAATGATATATGCAGCCTTCAATAATAATGATATATGCAGCCTTCAATAATAATGATATACGCAGCCTTCAATGATAATGCAGTATGCAGCCTTCAATAATAATGATATACGCAGCCTGCAATAATAATGATATATGCAGCCTTCAATAATAATGATATACGCAGCCTTCAATAATAATGATATATGCAGCCTGCAACAATAATGACGATATATGCATCCTGCAATAATAATGATATTTGCAGCCTGCAATAATAATGATATTTGCAGTCTGCAATAATAATGATATATGCAGCCTGCAACAATAATGATATTTGCAGCCTGCAGCAATAATGATATATGCAGCCTTCAATAATAATGATATACGCAGCCTTCAATGATAATGCAGTATGCAGCCTTCAATAATAATGATATACGCAGCCTGCAATAATAATGATATATGCAGCCTTCAATAATAATGATATACGCAGCCTTCAATAATAATGATATATGCAGCCTGCAACAATAATGACGATATATGCATCCTGCAATAATAATGATATTTGCAGCCTGCAATAATAATGATATTTGCAGTCTGCAATAATAATGCTATATGCAGCCTGCAACAATAATGATATTTGCAGCCTGCAGCAATAATGATATTTTCAGCCTGCAATAATAATGATATTTGCAGCCTGCAATAATAATGATATTTGCAGCCTGCAACAATAATGATATACGCAGCCTGCAATAATAATGATATTTGCAGCCTGCAATAATAATGATATATGCAGCCTGCAAAAATAATGATATATGCAGCCTGCAACAATAATAATATACGCAGCGTGCAATAATAATGATATATGCAGCCTGCAATAAAAATGATATACGCAGCCTTCAATAATAATGAATATATGCAGCCTGCAATAAAAATGATATATGCAGCCTTCAATAATAATGATATTTACAGCCTGCAATAATAATGATATACGCAGCCTGCAATAATAATGATATATGCAGCCTTCAATAATAATGATATATGCAGCCTGCAATAATAATGATATATGCAGCCTGCAATAATAATGATATATGCAGCCTGCAATAATAATGATATATGCAGCCTTCAATAAAAATGATATACGCAGCCTGCAATAATAATGATATACGCAGCCTGCAATAGTAATGATATACGCAGCCTGCAATAATAATGATATTTGCAGTCTGCAATAATAATGATATACGCAGCCTGCATAATAATGATATACGCAGCCTGCAATAATTATGATATTTGTAGCGTGCAATAATAATGATATTTGCAATCTGCAATAATAATGATATTTGCAGCGTGCAATAATAATGATATATGCAGCCTGCAACAATAATGATATATGCAGCCTGCAATAATAATGATATATGCAGCCTTCAATAATAATGATATATGCAGCCTGCAATAATAATGATATATGCAGCCTTCAATAATAATGATATATGCAGCCTGCAATAATAATGATATATCAAGCCTGCAATAATAATGATATTTGCAGCCTGCAACAATAATGATATATGCAGGCTGCAATAATAATGATATTTGCAGCCTGCAATAATAATGCTTTATGGGAGTATAGTAATATTATATAATTTCAATCACAAATCTAATGCAACCTGTATATCATTTATGTTATAAGCAGCATATAACATTTTATTATGCAAATATTCCTGAGTTTAAGTGTATTTAACCTATAGCTCTTCAGCGCTTCTTATGTAAAATTCTTCCAAGTATAATTTCCAATAACCGTAAATTATACCATACCCAGACTATGGTATAATTTTCAGTTTTGAAGATCGAAGGAGTAAGTGTTTCTGGGCGGAGCTATAGGTTAAAACAGATACACCATTGGTGCGTTGACGATTTCTGGGTTTGCGTAAATTATACCATAATCACGTGACCTTTCTTATGCAACCTCACTCGACTTCGTCTCGTGCGGTTAAGGCATAAGAAAGGTCACGTGATTATGGTATAATTTACGCAAACCCAGAAATCGTCAACGCAGCAATGGTATATCTATTACATATCTAGTAAAGTTCCAATGGTATGCATTTGTCCTATTCATCAACGCATGAAGTATTGTGTTTAACATAATTTATGACTTCTTTATGGATGAATCTAATTTCATATAAGAATGTTTTTTCAATAGATCTAGCTTAAAATTAGAAAAATAATACTTAAAACACTGACCTTTCAACACACCTTGTACAGTTCTAGTCCAATAGATGAATGTTTGAATGTACATACTTTTTCCAAATTTTGTACCTTATTTACGCGGATGCATATCATTTTGCCGTAGGGTCAACCTTCTTACAATCTAATAGTTCATCTTTGTTGTAGACTGATAATTTACCGTAAATCAAAATCGAACTTTGTAAGTTTCGGGTGACCAGAGATGGTAACGAACACCTGCAGCAAGTGTTATTATGTCAGTATCTATGGTGTCCCGTTAGGCCATTGTCGTATATTAAGATCTCCTAACTATCAAACAAAATGTAAGATGGTATAAGTCAAAATTACAACTATCGCGATGATATACAGTAATGTAAAAAGTGCGATAGTGAGAATCGACAATTAGACTATGGAAGAATAAGACAACGAAAGGTCGATAGTAAACTGTAAGTTGTGTATTTTCGCTCCGCGGGGCGCTTGGCGAAAAAAAAGTGGTTACGTTGTCGTGTTTTCGTGTTTTCGCCTTGCACCCCATGGAGAAAAGTACGACACAGTAGTCACTTTTTTATGAATACTAAATAGTACGACACAAATCAGCCACCATACTCAAGAGAAAAGCACCTTGGGGTGATACTGTTAAATTTGAAGCAAAGAAAAAGGTGCGTGGTGCAAATTTGCAGAAAAATGTCCACATTTCTATGATTATACAAACCTTTGGTCTGAGACCGGTGTCGTGTAATCATCATACGGGCGTAACCAGATCCAATGTTTATACATGCATTTTTAGAACTTGTCTATGACTTTGTTTACCGTCCAAGAGCTTTGGTAATAAGTACATATCTTCAACATAGGTGTATGTATTTGAATATTCTGAAAATATTTGTTTTCTTCTGAATATATGCGTATATTGAGCAAAATTGCCCAAATTTTGCATCTTTCGTAGGTCATTTTGAAGCATGTAGCATTCATACAAAAGTTCAATCTGATTAGAATAAGAGCCAATCAAAGCGAGCTTTCAATAATTTTGGAAACGATGTGGTTTCTAAGTTTAACCCTGGAAAAACTAATGTTATAAAGGTAATTTTCACGATTTCGAGAACAAACATGTAGTCCATTAAGCCGACAGATTAACTGGCAAAACAATCTTGCCCATTAAAAATTGACTCTTTTATTTCAAGTTCATTTGTTAAAAATTTCTTCAAACATTTTTTTTTCTTACAAAAAACAACAATTTGTTTAACTTCCACGGATAACGGTAATAAATACTTCTAATGCTTCGGTCGTCATCAGATCTACATGAAAGAAATAGGTAGATCTTTAGTCATATTATATAAAAGTTACACCATAAGATGCGTAATTCATTTGGGAAAAAAGGTAAATGATCCAAGTTTTTTGGAGTGCATTTAAGACCGCACGTGTGATTATCACGGCTTAACTCCCAACCGTGTGATTTTTACGCCACCGCGTGTGATAATTACGCGACAGGGGATTTCTTGTACCTACATATGAATTGTCACCGGATTTCTTGTACTTATATGAATTGTTACATTATGTTTTGTATTCGAAATGAGGCACTTCTTTTAGTTTGAATTACTATTTTCTTCCAATAATAAAATCTATATAATCTATCCTAAATAATGAGCTCACTAAAAATAAATTGCAAATTCGTACGCACTTTGTTTCAATGGTTAATACTGATAAGCCTGATAAATTGTCATCAACAGGGCGGATAAGATTCAACGTGTTAATATAACAGACTTTATCAATTTATCAAAAATGTAAATAACCCACCCACCCTTTAAGTACTCCGAGGATTAAGCTGTGAGCTTCCAGTAAACAGTTATAAACACAAAAAAACGTCAAACATTTCAACCCACAATCGACTGCATCGAAAAATGAAGAAGAAAAACTGTTGTACCTTTCGATACATTTTAATTTGATATCAAAGCACTTTTCGAACCCTCAAGCCATATGGTTTGCGTCCTGCATTTGGATTTTTATTTGAATAAACGCTTTGACTCTGGTACACACTTTTTAACTGGGCAAGATAAATCTGTTTAAGTGCATTGGTATTAGCCACTGACTTCTGTAAATAGCAAAGTTCCAGATAACTGAGAAAACTTGTTCGTAGCTTTAAGGTATTCAATCCACGTATTTATCTAATGTTCAATATTTATAGAGCGTTCAAATGACAATATATTCTAAATGCTCATATTGTGAATGGAAATGCTTATTTGCTCTTAAAATAGCATGGACATTTTGTGCAATAACATACTATAATGGACAAAGAACCTTAAAGATAACGTACAGCAAGTTTTAAAAATATCACTACGATTATGGTTTGTTTATTTTTTCTCTACTTCCATCGTTTATACGTAACTTGTACGTGACGTTTAAAGGTCTGTGATTATCGGTAAGTGGGTCGCAGATGACTTTCGGTGACCGCTTCGATAAAGTTCATTTCGAACTGGAATGTTTTAAAATAAATACGCTACCAAATTCATTCATTTACTGTGGGGAACATAGAAAATGGAATATAAACTCTTTGTTTTGCAGCTTATCATATTTATGCAAAGTAGTAAGTATATAGTTTTGCATTTCGTACAAAGGTGAAACTTATGTTATCGTACTGCCTTGGGTAAATTTTTGTAAGGTCAAACGTTACTTTGGTTTATCAAGTGAATTAGAAAAAAATAATTATAAAATTGTTTCGACAAAATGTATGTTTATCACAAACCAATTGTTGATTTGCATAGCACTGAAAAACAAAATTAATGTTTGTTTACATAATGATATGGTAAGCAGAACAGAGCAGCATAGTAATAATAGTAACTCTGCAGTAACTTAAGTTTTTTTCCCGAATTAAACTAACATAATGATCATAAATTTTCTGCAGAAAGAACTTTAATCAGGAATTTCCTTGCAAAATGATTTACTCCATTTCTTATTACTGTTTCATACTGTTTTCTTTCCATTTACAAACAAACAAAACAGAATATGAGCCGCGTCATGAAAAAACCAACATAATGGGTTTGCGACCAGCATGGATCCAGACCAGCCTGCGCTTCCGCGCAGTCTGATCAGGATCCATGCTGTTCGCTATCAGTTTCTCTACTTGTAATAGAGTTGGTAAGCGAACAGCATGGATCCTGATCAGACTGCGCGGATGCGCAGGCTGGTCTGGATCCATGCTGGTCGCAAACCCATTATTTTGGTTTTGTCATGACGCGGCTCATATCATTATTATCTTTCAGATGTTGATGGGACAGCTATTAGGAGTGACCAGTGCAAGCAAGTTGCGGCCATTGACTGTGAAAATAGTTACAAACCAGAAGGAAACGAAACCGTGTGTTGCTCAGATTTAAAAGTATACAACAATTTGTAAGTTCAATGCTTACTAAACTATCAAAATAATACTTCTTCTAACCAATTTGGCAATTTTTATCGTAATGTTTTTCTTTGTGAATATCACGATTTATTTTTACACGCATTGCAGAATTGTAGTCATCTTAAACGATATTAAATGTAGGTTAGTATTTGTAAGTCAACATTAATGAAATTAAATTTGTCAAAAGCGTTATTTAAAGAATAAATGATAACTTAACAGACTTCAAACCACTTGCCCCTAAACGCTGTGGGTTCGAATCCCGACAAGGTCTTTGGATTAGTTTATGTGCTAGCTTAGCTTAGGGAACCTTGGTGGTTCTACTCAGGTGCACTTTCGTTCAGGGCACTTAATGTTTTCTCCATCAGTAATGCTTGAAAGTCGCCAAATCACCTATACTGCGTTGGTGCGACGTGAAACTCAACAAAAAATACCAAACTCTAACCTGAGTGGTTGAAATTGTATTTTGAATCGTATGATTCGCTGATTTAACTGTATGGTGTTAAATGATAAGTAAGTACCGATCAAATGAATTTGATGTAGCACAGAATTTAAACATGGAACTATCTCATTGAAAACGTAAACACCAGTTAAGACCACACGTTAAGAATTATACCAGTTCACGTGCGACGTGTTGTGTTGTACTTTACATGTACATGTAATTTATTTCATTTCTATGCTTAATTAACAGCTACAATTAACACAACGGTAACATTTTGACATGTGAATTTGTTATTTTGCTCTAATAATTGGTTATATAATATTATATGACACCCTGTCATATATCCTCTTATCTTTATTAATTGACGTATACAAATAGTAGTAAGTGCGTCATGAAGTATACAAGTTTGGCAAATGCCTTACTTTCATTGACAAAGAATTGACCTTTTATCTGAAACTAGTATAATCTAAGATATATTTAAATACAAATAATTTATACAGGTTTCAACGCACTTATAATTCCCTTTAGCAATCATTATTTATGATGTTTTGATATATCAGTAACGAGTTTTTGATTACATTCAAAGTCAACGAAATCTTTCAAGTACATTGGTTTGACAGTTATATTGGAACAGGCCTAAAGATTGACGGTTTTTTGTGTGTATTTTCTATAATATGGTAGTCATGTTTTGTTTTAATCAAGTGAACTTAAGTACAAAATTGTTGATAAATATGTATATGCCATTTGATAAACATAAAAGGCATTATCTTACGCTTGGCTTAGCATTCTTTACTTTTAAGAGAAGTGCAGGAAAACAAAAAGCAATAGCATCGGGGGAGCCTAAGTGTTGTCTTACTAACTTTATTGATGGGGGAGTGGGGGAGCCTTAAATTCCTCTTCCTTTATCAAACGGGTGCCCGTGTAGAGCCATTAATCTTCCATAAGTTTGATGGACAGAGCACTAAAATGAAAAAATAAAATGTGAATAGGTACATTTACTAGAAACTTAATTAGCCCATTCATATATAACTTTTAAAAGCAGTTATGATTTAGAATTTGGAAAATGACAGAATAGAGAGAAACGGAATCCATATAGAATGCCCAAAACGTCAGATTTAAAAGTGTTTGATTAAGACTGTTTATGGACGGTAGCGGCAAATGCATGCTACGGTATACGCCCCCTAGCACCGGCTGATGCAGAATTCAACATTATCATGAAATAGCAAGATTTTGAACTTATAAACATCCGGGTATGACAGACGTTTTTTTTATCATCACCTTAATGTAAATGTTTTGTTTGCTTTCAGATGTTATTTCGCGCAGCAGAAATGCAAAGACCCGTCATTGACAGTGTTATACCCTGGTCACTGTGTCCAGTCGTCCCCAGCTCCTGGGTTAAACAATACTAGTACCTCGGACAATGCTTTTAACGATACTAAAGACATAGTAACGAATGTTACACCTGACCCAATCCTTGTGGCGTTCTGTGCAAATAAGGATGAAATTGTATGCCATGATGACCTTGACCCTGTGTGTGGTACGGACAACAAATTTTACAGAAACGGGTAAGTAGCAATTAAAAGAAGTTACCGTCTGCTCTAAAGATTTAACGTATAAAATCATCCTCACATATTTATTTTATGTCAGTCTTTTAGTATATGCCTATTTTACATACGAAATTTGATTTATACTATGCTCAGTTGGTGTATTGGCGAACCCGCATATCTATATACAAAAATGCTTCGGGCGCTTTCGGCAATAAAATGACAAATGGAACGCGTGAGCGTTTATGGTCGGACCAAATTGAACATCTGTGCAGCTAAACCAGCCGCTATACCGTTCTTGTTCAGAATATATATTTTGATATTGAAATATCTCATATTCTAAAGACTGTTCTGAATTCAAAAAGGGCAAATCTCTTATAAGACAAAGTCAGCAAAGTTTATAAATAATCTTTTTGAAAACAGAAGTTGTTATCTTATATTGAAAATATCTTTTATTCTGTTTCAGTTGCGAGTTTGCTCTTGCACGTTGTGATGATATGGCCCTTGGAACACAAAGTTTAGACGTATGTAAAACTGCAATACATAGGAGAATGCTTCATTTCTCAAAGAGCAAGAGATAATGACGTCATTGGTTGTTATAGGGTGGGCTATACGGAACATTACAATAGTCGAGAAACGGGGACACACACAAGGAATACCAACCAATGGGTTTTTAAAATCCGTCCATTATTTATTCAGCATGTCGTTTTGTTTATTCAGTGACAGGTGTAACATCACGACAGTCGACCGCATGAGATTATTTACAGTTTTGGACTCATTCCTTTGCAATTCTTGAGGTGTACTTTACCAGCTAAATTTCCGAATAAGTCTTCTCCTGCTTCCATTATTGGAACAGACAATTATCAATATTTGAGATATCAAGATAAAGATTTATTATAGAGTCTGGTCGGACCACAAGTCACCACATAGATATGTGGGCTGGCCTATCTCCTCTAAACATTTGCAAAAGCTTATCCATTTTGGTAAGCAAGTTGAGGGCTAAAATAAAATAACATTGTTTGTACTGGCTTTTTATCGGTGTTTTTAACTAAGCAAAAGCAATTCTGGAAACATTTACTTCATTTGTAGTTTAAACGTATACATAAAAAACATTTTGTGCGAATTATTAATGGGTGTTTTTTCGTAAAGTGGACAGGTCTTCAATGGACACATTTTGCAAAAGTTCGAATACTGGTATAAGCAAAAGCAATGTATTATTTGGATATTTTCATGAAATATCTGTAGAAAAAACAAAAGTTCATAAATGTCTAAAATGATTTAATTCACATTTTGATTCACATTTTATGATGAATAATAATATTTTGTTCTATACCACTATATTATCTGCTATATATTTATGTCATATCGGATCATGTATTTGACACTTACCAACAACATCCATATATATGCTTGCATATCAAACTGGTGTTCTCTTGGTTTTACCCATGCCGGAAATTTCATATGAAATGGGTGCGTACGAATATTCCGATCCGAACCGCAACATTTGACAGATATCATTGCATGTCATTTCTGGCAATACAGATCTTCCATTATAGACCAATTAAATTTAAAGAGCTTGTGAAATAATTATAGTTGTATCATAGTTTGGGGACGTTTCTCAGAGTTAATCAGTTTTATTGCGAAGCCTTATTCTGGGAATGTTGTAAATTGGTAATTGCACTACAGAGGGCAGTTTTGAAGAGGTTGCGCTGCTCATCATATTTATACGTTACAATAGTCTATTGCGTTAAACGTTAAATTTCAGAATAGCTGCGTGTGTTATAATTGAGAAATGCTTGTACAATAAATATAAGACACGAATTACGTGTGAAATTATTGAATTTTCTCCGCGTATATGTTTGATTACTGTTAAAAAATAATATGTATTTAAGAGATGTCTGCCTTATAAAATTAGAATTGGAATGCGTTTTGCTTGCAGCCAACTATTAGGAACAAACATCATGGGTTGTTTGTTTAAAATTTGTTATTTTTGGAAACTAATTAATTTGGACTTAAGATATGTCCTTAATTACACATCAAACGTGAATAGGTTTAAATAAACAGGTTTAATCCGGCGCAGGATGACAAGAAACTATTTATAAATGGATGACGAATGAACATGAACATAGCACGTTACACCATCCAATCGCAACTTTTCGGTCCTTTCCGTCAGTCTTCGGATAAGGATATTATAGATAATAGCCGAGGATGTTCCGATTGGCAGAACATTAGGCTAAAGGTATTGACCATACATAATGCAACATTAACTAACATGGTTTGACAGTAAGTGAGTCATTTAGTCGTGAATGTTATATGTGCATGATGGTTTTATCTTTCATTTCATGATAAAAGTATTTTAATAAAAATGCTAGGTATGATATTTTGTCATGGATTTGACAAAGAAGGTTAATGTGAATTGGCGGTGCAAACCCGTTTGTTCATTTTATATAAAAACGATCTTTTTGTATTGTTTAATTCAATGAGCACTTCAAATTGAACTGTATTTACATAAATATAACAAGACATATGGTATGCATAGGGAAAACGTAGATTATTTCGGTGATAAAAATCATAGAATTGAATTATCATTTTGTGCCATTTTGTGTGATATTTTCAACGGATATAGAGTCACGTTTTCAACGTCGTTAAAGTATCAAGTAAAAGGTCATGACTGCATTATTCAATTGAGTTTAGAATTATAGCACTAATATTTTTTTCCTTCAAGTGAAAAAGAAGAGAAAAGAAAGAATATGAGATACATGTATCTAGCTTAATTTACTTTAATTAAAATAGGACACAATCATTATAATGACGTTGTCTATATGTATAGGGAATCGTTAATGTAGATCTAATTAAGTTACATCTCTTTGTGAGTGATAAAATATGAAAGAAAAAAAGAAAGTCCGCGTTCTTTGTTGTTTTTTAATGTGATTAGTTCATACTTTTTCATTCAGACGCTTTTATCGTCTTCATGATTTGAAATACATCCACATCCTTATCATGACTTTTTTAAAAAGAAGTTATTGAGATACGGTTAATGATTTAAATCGATTTAACACCTTATTGACTTTTGTCTTGAATGAACATTGACTGCACTTTGAAGAAATTAGAAACTGGTATACTCGTATTTGGCATTGTTTGTGAAATATATTATATTCTGCTAATATATGCTGTTTCTTTTGCTCTTAATTGTGCTGTTTTGTTGTTATTGTTGATTGTTTGTTGTTATTTGCTTTTGTTGTTGTTGTTGTTTTCATTTGACATGAACGAGAGAGCCAATATTCCGGGGGGAATCTGCAAAAAGAATAAAAAAAAGAAGCTAGGAACTAGTTAGAATGAAGAAATTTTAGGTACATGTACTCATTTGTGAGTATACAGAAATAGGCATAAATCACCGCTTGTTCCTTTTGTTGTCCGGTACAAACAAGTATGAGACCAGTTTTAAGCAGTTATTCATTTAATTCATTACATTATGCTAATATTTTCGTTGTCAGGTTGAATTGAATCAACTTTATATTTCAAAAGATTGACTGTTAAACTGGTGATTGACCAACAGTTGATATTGAAAAATGCTTAGGCTAAAATATAAATCTATCTAAGCTATAATAAAAAGACTACCCAACTCTTTTTATAAAATTGAACGTTACATGTAGATTCCGATGGCTATTTATGGAAATTTCCTTTGGCCATATGAGTTATTTATCGTTATTAGAAATTAAATTATAAAATTGAAAGGAATTCTGGCAAAATGAAAACTTATTTTGACTGTCACCTCTTCTCTCACTTATATACCCTTGGATGGGAATATTGTTACTTTAACCATTGCAGGCGACAGACAAAGCGTGGAGTTATTGTTCTACTGAGGTCAATAAGCCACAATCATAAAATTAAAAGTTTTTAAACAGATCGAGTGAAGCACATAAAATTGAAAAGTCTGTGAAAAATGATAAAGGAATATACTGAGAATGAGACTTTTACAATTCATAGCTCGAGTTTAGTAAAAAGGGTTTTGTTCAATGAAAATGATTGAAGAAACGGAGTGAGGGAGTGATCTGAATTTTTTGCACACTATTATTAGTCCAAACTTGTAACATCAAATGTTACACACGTTTTGAAAATAAAAATTCCAGTCCCTTCATATCAATTAACCTCAGAAGAGTCCCTTTAACATAAAAAAACAAGATACAATGTATTATAAACGGTCATCTAATTAGCTGATTGGTCCACAGAGATCGAAGTTCATGTAATATATATTTTACGTGAGGACTTTTATAGAAAACTGTATCATCCCGAATCAAATATGATCGGCATGGTCGCTATGGAAACAATATCATTATAAGTACTATCTGAAAACTGTGTCATGTCGTCAATTTTCATCGTGAATTTGTTATTTGTCAACAGAATGCTAGTAAGCAACAAGGACAGTATTTTAAGATAAGAAATGTTGAAATACCTTTGTACAAAAAGTAGACTAGTTTGATGAAAACAGTAAAAATAGAGATATATTACCGTTCTGACATTATTCTCAATAATTTTTTTTTCTGAATGTAAAACAAGGTACATTGTATTTTACAACATCAAATCTATGTTTGAGAAGCAAATAGTGTACACCCAACCTGGTAGCCTTAGTCATAATTATGTGGGGTATCATAGGTCCGTATCATGCTCAAACCAGTTAGATTGCTTTATTTTCTTCTCTCTTTTTTGTCATCATCAAATTGCACGATTATTGTTGAGTAATTTAAATAATCTAATCAAGTTTCAAATATTTAAAGATCTTTAAAAGGAAACTGATAAATGAAATTTACAATAACATTCATAAGTGAAAGATCAGTTTAATCAACTTGATCTTTTCCTGCATCGAGGAGACTGACCTTTTACTTTATGCATATGAAATAAAGCTGTTCCAACCACTAGACCAATATGCCTTATATGACATGGAATCTGTTGAAAATCATGCAAGCATTAAAACAAATATAAATTGTAACAATTCATGGAAGATTCTCCGAGGCACGAAAAACTTCCCGAAGAATTCCCGAAGCACGGAAACGTTTCTGAAGAATTTCCGATGCACAGAAATGTTTCTGAAGAATTTCCGAAGCACAAAAATGTTTCTAAAGAATCCCCGAAGCACGGAAACGTTTCTGAAGAATTCCCGAAGCACGAAAACCTTCCCGAAAAATTCCCGAAGACGTCAAACTTCCCGAAGATACAGATACATCAGACACTGGTCAGTATTGTGAAACACTTCAATAGTTATATCTTAACAAAATGTCTAATTTGCTAGTACATACAATATACTGTCAATATCTCTTTATTTGTCGTTATGTTAATTGTATCGGTACGACCGAATATTGCATGAGGACATTTTTCAGATATATGCAAAAGAAATCGTAAGGTACACTTTATTTAAGCTGCGAAGGAAAACTTGTTTCGACATTTAGAACAGTCAGACAAACCCTATAACGAGCGGGAAATGAAACGATTATAAGAAATCATTACAGTGTTTGTAGAGTTGAAATTTTATCACATATAATGTTAAAAGCACACATTTATTGTACTCTTTGTATCAAGATGTTCTTTTGACCAGGATTGATTCAAAGCAAACCTGATTCAATTTACGTAAAGAGGCCCTAAGTCACATATTCAGTATTAAATTAATATTCTTTAGAATTTTTTTTCCAATGGAACGTTTAAAATGTGTCATTTTCTGTGCAAAGAATTTTTCCTGTTGTCAGATTGAATTTATTTACCGAGCAGTAAGTGTATGCGTGTTTCGTGTAGTAAAATGCGTGTATATATGTTCAGCAGTATAAATTAAAATGACGTTTTGTTAAAATGACTTTAGCTCATCTAATAGAACTTTATTTTCTCTTTTACCTTCATGTTTAATAGCAATATAAAGAAAAATAAATCGTTGTAAATTATAAACTATCTTAGGTTTAGTTAGATATATCATCTATTTCTTATACTGTGTCATTTTGTTTATCTCTTCATGTTCTGAATCAAGTTTCGTTGCGAGCTCTTTGACATACGATAATGTACCATTGGTGTGTGATGTTTTAATTTGGACGTGCGCGCGTGTGAGCCTCGACGTGATTAAAAAGATTGAACCTTTTTAAAAATTAATTATCAATTCAGATTTATTCATTAAAGCAAGACTGCCTGTCATGTGATTATGTCATATAGTTTCTACTGTCAGTTTGAATGACAGGCGGAGTTGTCGCCCGTCAGTTATTGCTTATCGTCAACAAAATCTGTGTAAAAAATAGCTTGTACAAATTGGAGAAATTTTCATGTCGTAAAAAAAACTGGAAAATGGTCCATCTAGCAAATCTGTATTAGTTGTATCTAATTTTGAATCAAAAACATATCTGTCAACATTTCATGTGTTTGAAAATATGCACATTTACTCTTCGCTTTGGTTAATTTTCCTTAAAAAATGTTGAAATAAACATATTACTAATAATATTTGTAACATGTGTTTATTCACATTTTATAAATTTGCAAAAGAGATTGTTAATTATATTGAAACACAACTGTCACTTTATAAGGCGCTTCAACCCATCTTAACGACACGGCAGTTTTATTCCTACGCGAGGGTACAGTGTAAATAGACACAATGTGTTATTGTGACGCGAAGTTGACGTAAAGTAGACAAAGCCGTTACTGTCTATATTTGACAGCTTAGCTGACATCCAGGCATAGACTATAGCAACGGTTACGGAAAACTTGAACGCAGTGAAGCAAAGAGGGAAAGCTCGGAGTAATACAAGGTGCCATTTTTGGATGTTAACTATTAAGGATCAGACATGGCCGTTTCCGTAGGATCCGTATTTGTTCTCTTGTTTTGTATTGGTAAGTCATGTATAGTACTAGTAACTAAAACATGTTAACTAACAACCAACCAAAATATATTAACACATTTGATTTATTTTTTCGTCATTGAGTTTTCTTTGTGCTTAACTTTCGTCGATGATAAAAATAATTTATTTTGTGTGTGTTTTTATCATTTTCACGTTAAGTATGGTTGATTTTCAATGTAGTATAGAAAAACATGATTTTAAATTGAAAAAAATTATATAATATAATATCTTTATAGATGATTTTGTCAATTTTGTTATTTATATTTATTTCTAATCAATACTTTCCTTACAGATACACAGATTATTTCATTTACAGATTTAGCTATTGGATATAATTAAAATTTTATGTGATTTTTCAAAAAAAAAATACGTCGGATATTTCCTTTTATGATGTGAACTTATACATTTGAATTTTCACGCACTCAATACAGGTCGTTTGAATGATTTTAGTTGTTTTAGATTTCACATATTTCTTATTCTTGTCGTAAGTGAGACTTGGTCAAACGAGAAATACGGGTATTTGTATCATGTCATCATAAGCTTTTGTTTTTAGAGCCAATTTTTTGTGTATGCATATATACATGAAGCCTAATATTTTGGAGCAAGTTATTGCGCCTACCTGTCTCAGTTGATGTATATATAGGTGTAAATGTCATTTTTATTCAATCATATACGTTATTTCGCCGTGAACTGTGTGTGTTTATACGAACGCATTGTTATGATAATTGACAAGGTCCTATCCACACAAATGACACCAAAATCGTTGGGGTTTATTTTAAACAAAGCTGCGCCATTTCATAGTAATTGAAAGTCAGTTCCATACTATTGTCCGGACAGTCAATGACACAAATAGGGACAGTCGATTAAAATCTGGATTAAAATGTAACATATTCAGACCTAATTGTAGAAACCTTGTTCTTGTTTTTTAATGAATATTGTGACTGTAAAAGGTCATGAACCACGTAGTAGTTATAGTTATATACGAAACATAATTAGTATAATGTGTTATCTTGCTATATTTTACATTTCTACAAACTGAACAAAATAGTAAAATGGCCCCCCAAAGAACGACACTTGTCCGTAGTGAATATAGAGTGTTTGCAAATTACAGAAATACTACATTAGAAAAACAAGGTTTGTACCAAAGTTTCAGACCTCCAAAATCGAAACCGATCGCACGTTATGTGCATGTAGTCTATGTTAAATTGCGCGTTTTGTTGTTCTTGACGTGTTTTTTGTCTAGGCACAATTTGAAGAAAGCCATGTTTTATTCAGTGAGCCATATTTATCAACATTTATTTACGTAGTTTACCTATATATTTTTACAATTGTTTCTTCTTTATTAATGTCAGATGGATTGTAAATGTCATCTTCACATATGTTTATTCATAGATTTAGTTGTTTCTGTGTTATTTGTCATTTTTTGCAATGAGTAATATGTTGTAAACAGCCTAGAGTGCGCACAAAATAAACATGAATCTTATCAAATGAAACTATAAACAAAAATAGTTTTATATCCTTATAAAAAAGTATATCTATTTTAAATTTTGAGATTTTTACAATAAAAATGCCACCTACTTTAGGACAAACCAATTTTATAGCAACCCTAGAAAATCTGTCATTTTATTATAATTGAGTTAGTTTATGTAGTGATTAAAAGCGAGTTGGTGGCAAATATTATTGTGTTTAATGTTAAATGCATTAATTTGTTCTTTTATTAGACAAAATTTCTAAAACCGTAAAAATCACCCTTCGACATGACGTTTTATATTAAACGTGTACATGTATAATATAAATAAACACGTATACAGCCAATTCTTTATAGTATTCTAAGTCTTAAGAAACAGTGTAAGTTAACGTATAGGCTTACAGTAGCAATTAAGGTACATGTAAAATTACTTTGAAATAATATATTTTCAACCCTGGCCGCGTTGCAGTCAGCGAAAACCCATTGTTTCCTTTTCACTCATTGCTTGGAACTGGTTGATTCCAGGAAATGATTCGGGTGTGTATCTAAAAGCTTTGGACAATACCGTTATTGTTAGTAAACTTCTATAAACTCTGAAAGTCATCCTTTTCGAAAGGTTCAGTGGTGTTAATTATTTTCTGGTTCAACACCCTAGCTATATCTGTAGGGTTGGTTACCTCACATGTTCGCTCTATATTGTGAAAGCTGGCATCAGACTATGAATGGCATCATGATACCGTGCCTTGTGCATTTAGTGTTTTCAATGAGATCATTTACGTTTCATAAAACTCATCAATATGATTATGAAATACATTTGTATTGTTCTAACATCTTGCCAGATACTATTATACAAATTTGGTACTTACTAGTTTATTTCTTGATGCGATGCTCTTTTTGATACAATTCTGAATTTGATTACCGACATACCTGTGTTGTTTACAATTATATTATATCTGTATAAATCCCAAACTATATTTTACCTGTTGTTCTTAAGAATAATTTGTCTGTATTTTACTTTCAAACACATTTAAAAGTAAACTGCATTATTGTTACAATTTACCATAAAAATCAACCAATAGATTACTATAGTATTTTGCAACATCAACATTTCCAAGAGAATGTACAAATATTAAGTATATTTCAGGCTGGTTGTTTCTTCTTTTTGGGAGATATCTTAAAATCTAACAATTTCTTGACAGTGCATCTCATTCGGCTTACATGTGTTTTTGTCATGGTTGTTTAACAATTTCATTACGAGTATAGGGGAAAGGAAAGAGTTTTGTAGAGAAGGAGATAAAACAATGTGAAATTTGCCAAGGGCAATATTTGACCAGCTTTGTCAATTCAACCATGGTAAAAAGAATATTTGCGACTTTACAGCTCCCAACATTTACGGATTTTACTTGTCAAAGCTGTGGCGTTTAAAGCATATGGTTCGGTTGTTTTAAACTATAAAAATGTAATGTAAGGCAAATACATCTAAAATAATGTAATTATTTCATTTAATGTAAAAAAGCCCGAATATTTAATTCATAATTATGACTTTTAGCAATTTAAAATTGCTAACCCCTGGTAAACATGTAACACATGTTATAAAAGCAAGAAAAATAGAAACATCTGTCTAATGTTGAAGACTTTTTATGGATTTTGCAGACCGATTATAGGGTACAGTAGTGTACAAACATGTCAAAATACCAAATTCCTGGCACCGTTTTATCAGATTTCAAAATTTATAGATTCTGGTAAAAACATATTCCATAGATTTATTCACATATCACTGTATGATACAGAAATTGTCACACCGTAAACATCTTTCAACATTAGGATCTTAGCTTTCATTATCTGACTTAATTTATCTGGACTTCAATTGATTTGGTACACAAAAAATTGCTTATAGTTGTTCTTGTAATTCTAGTTTATTTATTCTTATTTCCTAGCATCATTTACATGTCTTATATCTTACGTATAAACGTAAGCAGAAGGTTTATGATTTATGCCTTAACTGCTAAAATATATACAAATGCAGTTTCCTTATTTAGTAAATGTTAAAGTGATATCTGACAGTACCTGAGAGGTTTATGTCATCATCTCGACATCTGATATGAAGAAGAAAATTAACTATTTCCACTGAATATGTTATGCAAGATAAGACTATTATCCTATTTACTTATCCTAAAGTTTACGTTCTTCAATTAATTAATTGTTAGTGGAAAACATTTATTCAACTACGCCATGTTTTAGGTTTTTTATATGGCGAATAAATACTTTTTTCATATTTTAAGTATGAATTTAATGATACAGAAGAAAATTCTTTTTTCGTCCAGTCATAAGAAGATGTCTTCTCTTTTGATGTTAGTGAAACAAATTTATATAAAAATCGAACATGTAATTGTAAAGCCTCTTGTACCCTGTAATTCATTCCAATAGTGTCTTTCACCTGTGTTTGACCAAGCTTATGTTAATATCTATACTTTATTGCGTCCTTTTATGTGTACCTTTGCAAAGAGCCTCAAATATCGTCCACCGCATGACTAATAAATGTAAAATGTACGAAACGTGTTACTTAGGCAAACCACTACATATATCTAGGAAGAAAATGAGTAAAATCGAGACAATGTATATGCTATATCTAATTATTCATTTTATACGTATGACTATGACGAACTGTTGCTATTTTTTGTTCAAGTAAGGATATGGTCCTACTTTAGTGACATTATGCCCATCCAAGTGTAAATGGTTATTGAACAGCTAAAAATAAAAATTCATTTTCATTTTGTCATAACTTTGTCAAAAAATGAGCATTTGTATCTTTTGCATTATCATCTGAACAAAATACTGTAACAAGTGAATGTTTTTCCTACAAGTAGTGCATTTTTCTTGAATTGTACATCATTCTTTTTCTTAGGACAGATTATCTATTAACTTCTGTATGATTAAGCTTACTCTAGACTATTTTCTATCTTGTAAAATTAAGGTATTTTGTGTGAATAGTTTTGTTTCTGGATGCTATGTACGTAGAAAGAGGGAAATGTTGGTGAGGCAGATGCATATTTATTTGTGTCACTTATGTGCTCTTCATGTTATTTCCTCTCGTTCTAAGTTTGTAAGTTTCATCTCAATCTTTTTTTCTACTTTTTACTGCTGTTCACAAACACGCACAATGCTGGTTTGTCTTAATCATGATAATTTAATTGTGAAGTGAAGTCTTTAAAGTTACAGAGTTGACAACTCGAGCATGGATTACTCTTGTTTTGAAATAAGCTGAATTCGGATATTCATAAAATCATAAGCATGACAATTCTCATGTTCAAGAATGTAATGTCTAAGTCAGATGGCTACCACTTGAGACATTTAAGTAATGATTAGGGAAACTGTTGTTTATACCTTTTTGGTTGACAATGTGTCTTAGTTTTTTGTATTATATTTCAAACATGAGGTCAAACATGTTACCCTCAATTTGCTTTGATGATTCAATACATCATATAAAGCTTATGAAACTGACCTTTTATACGTCAAATTTCAACAAAAAAACCCGGGATGTATGTACAAAACACATGTATATTAATTTGTTTATTGCGTGAGTGAAACAAAAAAAATGTGACATCTATGTAAGAAATATAAAGCATAATGAAGTATGTTAATTTCTTAATTGTTGGCATTTAGTTTTTTTGCTGGCATGCAGTCAGACTAAAATATCTCGAAATAAACAAAACTGAAAGCATTCAATTTCAAAACTAAGATAATAAAATATATCTGACACATGATTTAGGCCTGCTTATTTAAGCAAAATAAGACAAAAACACAGAACTGTTAGGTGTAAACTAATTAAACATTTGTACATTCTCACTCAAACGTATTTCGTAAGAGTTAGACGGAAATGACGTGCTTGTTATACACGGAACTTTTTAATTCACGATAAATAATGTTTTCTTTATACCTGTATTGCTGTTTTTATTCATGAGTTTTGTCTTTAGTTTGATAATTACCTCAACAGAGTTTGATTTTTATCTACTCAGGGTTTGATTATTATCTCCCCCCGAGAATTTGTTTATTAACGCAGCGTAATTTGATTATTATCTCGTTTGTTTATTAACGCAGCAGAGTTTGATTATTATTTCATCCGAGTTCTGTTTTAACTCAGCAAAGTTTGATTCATTTTTCGCCTAAGCAAAGATTGATGATTATCTTGGCTTGAAAGTTATGTTAGAAGAGTTTGGTTATTATCTCCTCAGAGTTTGATCATTATCTCTTCAGAGTTTGATCATTATCTCCTCAGAGTTTGATTATTTACCTCAGTAGATTCGTATTCAATTCATCGGTTCTCAATAAAGTAACAAAAAGTTGTAGGAGGACAGAAAACCACCGAAATATAAATAACGAAGGAAACGCTTTACAAATAAAACAACGACAATAAAAACTTGAGACAGTTATTGCACATCAATGGTATGGTATCTTTGATATTACACCGTTCAGACATTTAGTATTGATTTTAGATGCCCGTATGAAAGTATTTATGGATAATCTTAACCAGTGTCCAAACAAAACATATCATTTTGTGTGGATTGTGAGTAAATGACAGACACAAAGAGTCAATATTGTCATTTATTTTTCATTGGTGCAGTTTTTATTGCTGTTAGTAATAATATGCAGAGGTGACAGAAATAAGATAAATGTATATATATATTTATATGACTGCACACCACAATATAAAAAGAACTCCATTGAGGTCCAACAGCCTTAACTCTTCAAATTTGAATTTCTTATCAGCTGGAACACTTAAAACAGAAAGATATGCAAAAGAGTATTAAGAACTCCGGAATAAAATAAAAATCCTATGTTTGTGCTATTCTTAGCCCAAGTTGAGTAAAGGGCCTTGCATCGCTTGCCAATTTTGGGTCATTGTTTTTAAATCAGTGTTATTATTTTGGAAAAATGTAGTGAGCGAGTGATCTGAAATTTGCTAACAAGTTTTTTGGCTAGACCTACATCAAATGTAACATTAATTAAAAAAAAAATAATTTCAATCCCGTCGTGTCAAAAGGCCTAAATGGAGTCCCTCTAATTAAATTTGCATATACACAGCTATTGTAATTTTGCTACCAATATATGCATTGTATTTACACTTATATCTTCATTTACAAAAAGATATTAAAACAAAAAAGTTTGGATTGAAGTTTTTCTCCATGCTATTACATACTATTGTATTTAAACTTGAATTGTCATTAGAATGAAAAATGTTTTAAAATCGTACTTTTATGTACACTCTATGCTAAAATCTGTTACGTCTTTCTAACATTTCTTTTAAAAAATAACATGAACTAAAGGAAGTGATAATTCGATCAGAACAATATACAGACGTGTTTATCTTCAATGTGAGATGACGTAAGTAAAGCAAATAATGAAAATGCATACACGAGCAAATGATAAACATATTCTACTTATTTTAATACTTTTTTTTATAAATAATTCAGAATAAGATTAAGAAAAGAGTATATATACATAATAAAAGACCATCAATATTACAAGGGCATGCTCTTAAATCATCGGTTATTTTAGACACATAGCTTTCAAGCCTTTTCCCAAGTAAGCTCCTCATTGGCCAAAGTCAGAATAACCACTAACTTGTCATGTTATATAATAGTACACCTACTTGCTTACATATTTACAGATTAAAACAAAGATTAATTCACAAACTGATCGTGAGCATTATGTCATAAAATTGTCTACTAAAATAGCAAAGGTATAAGAGGGTAATAAATAATATCTTTTTTGTCATAAACATGTCCTTTTTGTGTATCCTCTGCATTACTTTTTTCATCGTTATGTCTAGTTGTAAGGTTTGATAGTTTGCCAGTAGACGTATTTTCCTTCACAACGTTCATTTATATTGTATACTAATATTTATGAGTTTTCTATATTTTTGTCAACAGAAGAAAAAAAAAATTGTAAGCTTATCTCTCATATGTATTTCTCGCATCCTTTCGTTCAAAATATATAACATGATTTTCATTTATTTGTCAGATATCCATTTAACTGTTGTAACATCTTTCGTGTCGTTGAAGCTTTATGGTCATAACACATTATTGTTCACCTCAGTGAATCTCAAGATGTGTTCCGGAAATGTATAGGAGAACTATAACCTTGTAATGTTACTTTTTTTAATCTGAGAAACACTTTTCTCTCCGCTTGAGCACTCTTCTCTAAAAATGTAATATGGCTTTTAGGGAGAAGGAGTTTAATGTGCGGTAAAAGTTTTTACTAAACAAACAAAATTTATAAAACAAAAGTCCAGCATTTAATCAATATTTATCGGTTTGGTTTGTTTTTGCAAATTATTTTTGTTGTTGTTTTTTATTGTATCGTTTAACATTTCTTCAGACACGTTCAGCATCCTTTAAAAAATCACCATGCACGTAGAAGGCGATATTGCATTGTGACAGTATGTAACGGAAACATTTCAATCGCAACTAAAGGTTTTGTAGCAATTCTGATTGTTGAACTTGGGAAAGGACCACACGTCTTGTTCAAATGATTGCGATAACATTTGTGCATCTTTGGATAATGAATGTAGTTGGCTTTCTGACTCAATTATTCAGCTTCGGTCTTTTGATATGATTTATGTGCAATTTCGTCCGTAGTTAGACAGGAATTCTTCAGCTGTCAGTTTTACATTGGCATGTACGTTGATGAGGATATACAAATGTTGTTTTGATGTTTAAGCTTTCGTTATGAAGATATGAAATATTACTTTTGCAAAAATTGCAAGTGGACATTTCTGCACAAAATTGCCATATACATTTTCGTAACAATTAATGCGAAGGCTTTAAATTACATTTTGGTATTTGGATATGTGCCGAAATCTTTACATTTATAACTTCTTTAAAAAGCTTACGTCATTAAATGATAATAATAAACAGGTGTTTTTTTGTTTTAATCATTTATAAATTCAACAATGGCATTAGAAATGTTGATACTGTAAACTAATGTCAAAAATGCTTGAATAATCTAAAACTGTAATTAAATCACTTAAATTTACGGATCCATATATTGGTCAAATAGAAGAGAGCTACACATATATCATATTCTGAATAAAATGCATAGTACTTACACGTACTTTTTATCATTCCATTACATGGATTATTGAATGTGATTTGCCATTATTCTTATTTGCTCATTGTCAAGATGAGCTTAATTGACTATATATTTCAAAAGACTGACTGTCATTTTGGTGATTTAAAAACAGTTGATATTGGAAACATGTTCAGGGTCTGCCTAAAATATAAAAAGACTGCCCCCACCACTCTTTTTTATAAATTGAACGCTACAGGTACATTCCGTTAATAATTACAGAATATACCTTTGCCAAGACAGTTATACACTGTTAATTGTTCATGCAAGTAAATTAAAGAACAGACAGGAATTATGGCAAAATGTTTTAAATTACTTAATTTGACTTTCATCTGGTCACTCACTATACTCACTATATACTCTTTGATGGGCATAATGTCACTTCAATATGTTCTAAACCATCATCAATGCTGCTAAATCGGATTCTTTAGTTTTTCATCAGGTGATTGATGTTGGCAATGTTATATGTTTGAATCGGCTATGTACAATGCAATCAACTTGCAGAAATAACTAAAATCTTAAATCCGTGAATAGAAAACGAGGGGAGGTCAAAAGGTATTACAATTGTTGTTATGAATGTGCTGTTTATGTAGAAGTCTTATGATGATACTAGATCTTTATTTCAGCATTGACAGTGACTTATGTCCAAAGCCAGGCCGCTAAACAGGCATATGGTAAGCCAGAAGGTGATGGTCAAGAGAAAAAACATATTTCAAGAAAAAACATTTTTATTTGTTTCTGGATTTTATCTTTGTATGGCAAATCAAATTGTTGTGCCAAGGTCGTCTTAAGAGATTCCAGTGAATGCTTAAAAATCTCTCTTTGCTTCATTTAACGCTTTCTAAACGCTTTCAGAAGTACATCAAACTATTTGGAATCAAACGTGAATTCATTGATAATAGTTTGTTTTCAATTTACAGACGTACGGTTGTGGTGTGATTAAAAAATGTAAAAAGAATTGGTGATTTTTAAGTCCAAAGAAAAAGTGTTACTCGTTAGATGTCTTGTTCGGTGTCGGTATATTTTCGTTTAATGTGGCACATCCTGTCATTTTCTTTATATATATATCAACACACAAAAAATCATTCTATTGAAAATATCAGATCATCTATTCTGTGATTTCAATAAAGTTAAAGACAAATTTACATTTTACTATTTTAAGAATTTTTGTCAGTTTATTACGATGGTAAGTGGTAGATTTTCTTCTTTTGTTTTGTGACTAACATAGATTTGCGATAAGCATTTACTACCTTTCAGCCACATTAACCGGTACACATATTGCAGCTGGGCAATAAACAAGTGGTAAGATTTTGGTAGGCCTCCAGATGAACAACATGGACATGTTAAATTATTTGACTTTGCAAATACATTGGAAGATAAATATTTAAAACATGGTGATGATGGTGTTTTCGAGAGTTCATTTCCTTTCAGATCTGGTTTGGAATTTTGGAATGTCGAGATGTTTTGTGTTGCTCAACTTTTGCTTAAACATGATTCAAAGCTTATGTGTTGCTATCCTGTGTTTTCCAAATGTTATTTGTTTCATGTTACCTGTTACCTGTAATATTGCAAAATCGACATAAAACCGCTATATTATTTTGATACCATTGGTTCCTTAAATATTTTAAAGATATTAATCGCTTATATTTTACAGATGAATAATTGAAATTAGCAGGTATATTTCATTAAATGATTTACATCACTTGTAAATCAAAGTGTAATTAATATTACATAATAAAAGCATTATCATTTTAGAAAGTGTCGAACTCTCCTATCTCATTGATTGCTTTTGTTTGAACTTGACAAGAAATTAACAGTATAAGTAGGTAATTATTAACCTAATTAATGTTCATTGGAATAAATCATGCTTAAAACATAGTGTTAGAGAATATATTAAATTGTTTCTTGACGCCGTTGAGAGGCAAACAGAACAGCACAGCTAGAAAGAAATCTTTATCATGTATCGGAATTTAAAATGAAAAATATTGGAAAAATATCTAAAATATTAGTTATAGGTCAAAACTGATGTATTCATGTAATTTACATCATACGTTTGTATTGTAATTAAAATGTTATATTTTATATCAACAAACACGTATAAGTTCTTTTGAAGTAACACGAAGCAATTGAAATAAAAACATAACTACTGAAATACTTGAGTTTGTCAAATTGGAACGGGTAAAGATAAAAGGAAAAATTAAACATGTTATAACTTTCAAGTCCAATATGTCACCGATCGGCAATATGAGCAAATATAATTGTCAGATATATTTAACAAGTCAATTTACATATATAACGCCAAGATCTATACCCTAGCTTTGGAATATTGTATAATTAAAAATAATATGTCCAAAGGTGAACTTTAAGACATCTAATGCATTGATCCCGTCATACATAAATATGAGTAATTTTCTATCAAACAATGGACTTGAAACATTCTCATCTGCATCTGTGTATATTATACAATGGTGATGCAGGTGATGGTTGCAAGGATATAGACATATACAGAGGTGGTTGTTGCAAGGAATTGAGACGTGTTTGTTCTTAAATGTAATGTGTTTCCTATATGTATGTTCATGAGCTTTTCTTCTATTGGATTTGTTTGTTCGTTTTTATTAGATTTGTTTGTTTGTTTTATTGGATTTGTTTGTTCGTATGTTTTTATTGAATTTGTTTGTGTGTTTCTTGTTGTGGTTGTTGTGTGATTTCTTGTGTTTTATTTTATGCGCTTGTTTTGTAATTTGCCTTTTTGTAGAAGCTTTCAACCACCGACACTAGTGTTAGACAGGCTGACTCAAGGTAATAAATAGATATATATGAAAAAGAGGATACTCTAGAACTTCTTCAATATTTTACCAAGATTTCATGATTCTTTGTTTCAGCCGTGACAGTCGATCAGGGCCAGGCACAAACAACTGGTGAGCGAGAGAATGAGTGGGAAGGTAACGGGGCATCATGTTCAATCATACAAAGGAAAACCATCTTTATCTATTCATAAACCTGATTAAATGCATGTCTTTCATAAATGATAAGATGACATCTGACTATTTCATCTTTTTAAATTCTCTGTAAAAATGCTTAAGTTTGTATTATAGCATTTATTGGTTTTAAAATCAGTATGATTTCATTCAAATTTCTCTAAACATTGATAGTATACTCAATTTTTAAATGAAGTATATATTTCTAAAATCAAATTTGCATCAGTTAAAACAATCAGTTTTCCTTTGTTAACCAGCGTTGATTTGTATATTTTGAGTGGAAAGGCCGAACTCTTCAACATGGTCAGTAGAATCCAGTAAAGTTGAGACAAAACATAAGTAGTTATTGCTTGATCACGGTCCAACTTGAAAAGATATATATACATAATATGTTTGGTACACTCAGACAGCCTCTTGGATTACTTGCTTTTGTCAAAGAGCACTCGTAGTTGCAAATTTGAGTTTACAAAATTCCGATTTGGATTGAGTATAGCAATAACTACTTATAATGTCGTGTAACTGTTTTCTGACTTACCTCGCTGTATTTTGAACATGATCAGAAGTAGTCTAACACAAAACATATGTGTATCTTTAATATTAATATGTCAATGAGTTTGTGTTTGCACTTTCTGCGTAAATATTCTTTTTCTTCTTATTTTAAATAAGGTTCAAGGGTACAAGCTTTAGTTATTTCATCTTTTACAGGTGTCGTCCAATTTTCTTCACTTCCTTAAATATATCTTTTGATATTTATTTGACTCATTTCAAAATAGGAAACTGAGTTCAGTTCTACGAAAAATTAAGTACTGTATTCTAAGCACAAGGAATCAGGATGTCTGATTATATTATTTCCTGATCAGAATAAACATTGTATTAAGAAACTCTTACAACGAAATGAAAACGGAATTAGATTTCTTGTCATTTATTATGTTGGCTGTTTTACTTTTGACAATTTAATATGCCAACAAACCACACGATTATGAAAATGTATGCTTATTTTTTCTTATTTTCTTCACGCAAAGAGTGCATACATTCTCAAACCGGTGCTTGCTGTTTTAACTTTTGTCGTTTTAACTTAATATTTGGTAGATAGGTAATATTCACTGACATGTAGGTGTTTGTAAGTTATTTTATATTCTTAGCATTAGTTTGTTGTTTTTTTTTCTAGTCGAAAATGTTATGTTCTTGATACATAGAGTAAAACAGTTTGACAATGTAGTTTGCATTTATACAGTATAACCAAGAGTGGATTGGTAAAATGGTGATTAAGTTTTATCCGTGTTTAATTCAAAATGACAGCACAAAGCACCTAAAGAACCTACTGGTTTTGTACCAATCAATGATCCAGTAAAGGTTTTGCAAGCCATAGTTATCACCATAATTCAGACGCCGCTGTTGAAATATGATATTAAAAGATTTGTTCACACTAAATGACTGAATTGCAAATGATGATTTAGTGCATTGTTTACAAATAAGTAATTTTTAGAAACAGCCGACTACAATTGAATTCATATCTTCGATACTTAAGGCATACGACTGCTACTTCATGTAGGGGGATTGTGTCGTAATTGTACGCTCTAAGAACTTCTTTAAAGTGTGCTGAAACTTCATTACACACACTTTTTTCTATAAAGTAAAACTTCCTGTTATTCAAGGCGATGCATTATTTATTTTACTTAGTCTGCATTCAAACTGTGCAACGTTAGGCAATATCTAGAAATAATTCTCACTTTGAATTTCTGAAATAGACATTTTGATGGCCACTTGCGGTTTTCACATAGACATTTATGGAAGGGCATAAATGTTAAAATGGTAAATATATATACAGATTTATGGAAGGGCATAACTGTTAAAATGGTAAATATATATACAGTTGAGAAATTTATTACCATCCTCGTAAAGGTCATACATTCCTTGCAATATCCGCCCCAAACATTATTTGTATTACTCATAGAAATAAAATAAATTGACTTTTATATTATCATCAACAAATGATACATGCAAATTAGTAATATGCAGTTATTATATGTCTATTTCGGAAAAACAAGTGCCATGTTGGGACAAAAAACTGTGTATACATTTTAGTATTTAACAGACCTCTTAGTGTTTGAATAATTATTAATTGTAATCAGCAAGTTAAAATTGCTTTAGATGACAGTCCGTGTATTTTTGGCCAAACTTTTCTTACTTGATGCTGTAAACATATAAAACAGAATTTAATCGGGTCTTTTGTCTACATTTAACAAGTAAAATGGTGGTTATATTTGAAAATATGTATATGAATTTGTATAAAACAAACTGTAGGGTCTTATAGATACCCAAGAGAACTTGAAGGTATAACACTTACAAGTGAAAATTACACATGAAGTTAAATTGTTAGAAAACAGTCAATGGAATTGTAACTTTTGCATTCCTTGACATTATTTGGCAAGCATGTCTTCGTAAAAAGGTAGCTACAATAACTTTATACCAACTACAGTTATTATATATAATTTTCACAAAACCATGTTTATTTTACTGCAATGAGTGTTTTTCCACCACGTGTATTGTTAGATCAGTCAACAATTTTTAGCTCGACTATTCGATAAGAATAAGTAGAGCTATTGTAGTCACCCGAGCGTCGGCGTCGGCGTCTGCGTCGGCGTAACCACTTATGTTAAAGTTTTTGTAATAGTTCAAATATTTTCAAAGTCCATTGACATATGGCTTTGAAACTTTGCACACTTGTTCACCATCATTACCCCAACCTATAAACAGGAGGAGGTAACTGTATCAAGCATTTTGACAGAATAATGCCCCTTTTTCGACTTAGAATTTAAGTTAAAGTTTTTGTAATAGTTCATATATTTTCAAAGTCCATTGACATATGGCTTTGAAACTTTGCACACTTGTTCACCATCATTACCCCAACCTGTAAACAGGAGGAGGTAACTGTATCAAGCATTTTGACAGAATTATGCCCCTTTTTCGACTTTGAATTTACGTTAAAGTTTTTGTGATAGGTCAAATATTTTCAAAGTCCATTGACATATGGCTTTGAAACTTTACACACTTGTTCACCATCATTATCCCAACTTTTAAACAGGAGGAGATAACTGTATCAAGCATTTTGACAGAATTATGCCCCTTTTTTGACTTAGAATTTACGTTAAAGTTTTTGTAACAGTTCAAATATTTTCAAAGTCCATTGACATATGGCTTTGAAACTTTGCACACTTGTTCACCATTATTACCCCAACCTGTAAACAGGAGCAGGTAATTGTATCAAGCATTTTTTTTTACTATCAAGCACTAAGAATAGTCGAGCGTTGCTGTCCTACCGACAGCTCTTGTTCTTTAATTTGACAAACGTGTGGCACAATTTCCAACAGTCTATATTTTTATCTAAACTTTTTATACATTGTGTATATATATTTCATATTTATGTACTAGAATTCTTTCATTAATTCGGGCAACCAGTTAAATCAACAACTGAAGACAAAGATACTAGTAGACGCCACTTTCTCTCATAGAACTGAATTTAATATGGAAAACCTTTGCCCCATAAAGTATTCGTGCTTAAAAATACACGCCCATTTGCAATATTAACGTAATTTTACGTAAAGATGTGTAGATTAGGAAAGAGATATATAAAATGTACTGTTGCATAAGGTCCACCTGGTGGAGGTTATGGCACAACGGAAATGATGACAACTGCTATGGCTGGAGAAGTCGAGTTCGAAGCAGAAGAAGTCATAACGACAACTACCATGAAGCCCAAACCAACAAAGGCTAGACCACGAAAGCGACCAAAGTCGAGAAGAAGGCGACCGAAGAATTTAAAACCAAAACCCAAACCGAAAGTCACACCAGGTATTTCTTTCTGTCGCCACAAAACATGTTGTTACATATTCATACATACATCTTTAATGTCAAGGTGTTTTCACAAGTGACTTAATTTTATTTCTAGTGGTTTTACGTGTTTCAATTGGGTCAGTACTTTCATAAAAACACATTTTTTGTGATATTCAATTATCACAAATTCATTTAATTACTTTCAGTAAATTATTATGAAACCTGTATCTTAAAGATAAAAAAGTACCGAAAAGAAGTGATTTATATTCGTAAAAATGCCATAAGTAAATATATTTTTTGTTGTTAAAATCTTTTTTTTTTTTATTTACGGATTGATTACATTTGAGTCTTTTTGCAGCGCGAAAAAGACCACCGACGACACCTGCGCCTACATTAGCACCAACCGCAGCACCAACACCTGCACCAACCATGGCACCTACACAACCACCTACACCAGTACCAACCATGGCGCCAGTTAAAAAATCAACACGAGCAAAAACACGAACAAAGGTTTCCAAAGCAGCTGGGCGGGCTCAAGGTACAAGGAGTGTGGATATTTTATAAAGCCGATGTCACTCTGCCACCATATGCGCATTAATCTTTGGTGCCCATCTGGAACTACTTTAGCACTTAATTTTAATAATATAATTAGATTAATAGAATTATACAAAGGCAGCTTAATTTGCATTGATTCAAATGTGTCTTTGTACGGAGTCAATGTAATGGTAGCCGCACCTCTTCTTTTATGTTTATATCGCACGTGGTGTTGATCAAATCCGTGCATGTAATTAGAATTAGTATATTTCAAACAGGATTTGCCACATTAAACTTCCATTTAGACACCATGTTTTGTGTTTGCTGTCAGTTTAAATATCATTTTCCACTGAATTGTTTCTGTAATGTTTATCTATGTTAACAAACATGTTTTTACGCAAATTGAGCGTTTGTGTTACTGCAAAAGATAACTCAGTATGACTCGAGGTAAACAGTTTGAAAGGAAATATCTCAATGACAAATGAATGTATGCATTCCATTCTATCAAAAAATGTATGAGTGTGCCAATAAATATTTCACATCCCTCTATTCTTTTAGGGGCTGGAATTATTCAAAAGATTCTATACTATACACACATATATAGGACTTACTAACACATCTAGAGTAGCAATATTCTTATTTTAAAATAACATACCTATGTATTGTTATTAAGATTTAGAATAAAGTTTCTTTCAAAAACGTGTTAAAGTCTGGAATGTTTATTTTCACTTGATACAGTGAGAGCTTTCTTTTTGAACAGTATTTGCGAACGTATTTGGGCCAGTGTATCTTATTTACACTTAGACAAGCTAGTTGTGTATGAATTCGAACAAACTGACAGTATAAAGGAACAAGACATTAAACTTTCCGTAAAAAAGTCTGATCAAAAACGTACAATGCTAAACCATAAAATGAAAATGTTTGATGAATAAACAATATTATTAGATATTTACAGTCAAACAGCACAGTGGGAAATCTTACTATGTGTTTAACATTTTTGCTTTTTATTGCTTTTAATTAGCACCGCTCTTTGTGTATTAACATGTTTGTTAACATTCGTTTATTCTTAGAAATATATCACATATCATACTAGAAATCTTAGATACATATAAAACTTTGTTTTGAACTATTTTTTTCTATACGTCAAGTTTGAAGTATCTTTTAATCGTTGTTTTTAACTATTATATATCCGTTAAAGTAAACGTATTTATTTATGGGTTAAATTCAAGCAGTTATTCTGACGATCATATAAAGGTGTAAGGCGTCTAATAGACTTTTTATGTTACAAAAAAAATTCATTTAAATTCCACTTAATAAATTTGTTAATAAGTTATTGAGAAATATCATAAAAATTGCGTACCTGAATTTTATGTCTTAAAATTTATAGAGCTACATTGCTTATTTCTTTTATGTTACAGGAGGGAAGGGCAATGCCGGATATGCGACAGGTGGCGGCGGTGCCGCACCGGCTCCTATGCCAATTGTTCACCAACAGGTATACCCCCAACCCGTGCCTACAACAACGCCCGCGCCTACCACCAAGTCACCTCAGCAGTATCTGTACGAGCCTCATTCTTGCCCTAAAATGGACGTGGCAACCTGGGAAAATGAAGTGGTGATTTATGACAACAAAAATTGTGCAATGTAAGTGGTTAACTATATGACTTTTAGGCTTAAACGGACAAGCAACTGTCATGCCATGTCATAAGTCAAGGGTGATATAATGTACTTGTTTTTGTATGTTGATTATACGACATGATATACCTCTTATTTAAGGGAAATGTTAAGGGTTATCACAAATCCTAGTTCTCTTACTATTGCCACACTAATTGCTGTGTCAAGGTATCATAAGCAAGACAATTTAATTAAAGGCGTAATGAAAAGGAGCGGATAAATTGCCTTTCCGGCCCTTTACCTCAGCAAGGTTTCAATTGGCTGTTGGGGTCAGTATATGATAAGAGAAAATTCGTATTAATACTAAAGTAAATGATTTACTGAAAAAGGTAAAACATGTTCATTATGTCATACACCCAAACAAATGTATGGACCAATACAGATGAGTAAATCCGTGACTTGTACAAAGAAGTGATTTCCTTGTTTATCTGTTCGAGAAAGCAACCTACGTTCATGTGGGAAAATAAATGCTTCTTTACCTTCATATTGGCACGGCAAATTCATAAACATTAGGAAAATTCTAGAATTTACCAAGCGAATAGTGTTATAAATTATCACTCTAACATACTGTGGCGATGAGTTGACTATTTTAACAGTACATTGTCTTACTTTGCAATAATTTGTTTGTGGAATGCTGCCAATTCGGGCATGCCATAAGTTAATTGCGATGTATGACATGGTTTTTAAACAAGACAGAATACTAGTTATTAAAAGCACATTAAGAAAACATACCTGTATCTTATTGTTCTTAAAATCTAATGTGGCCTCTGGGGCCGAATGGTCACAGATTTTGCAATGACTCTCCTCTCAAATATGTGCGTTCGAATCCGCCGGTGGAACATTGGATGCACAAACCGTTAGCTTACGGAAAGATGCATTATGGGGCACCTAAGACATTCTTCTACCATTTGAGCTTGATATTTGTACTTTATTTTGATAGTCTGACAGACAAAAAATATCTTTAAGGAGGTGTGACCTATATCTTTAATACCTTAATTCCTTTCAATGAATTTTCAACGAATAATGAGTAAAATTTTTTGCTTTTTAGAGTAATAAATTTTCAAACATCGCTTTCCGTGTAGCTTTTGAAAAAGGTCAAGGGTCACCTTGAGTACAACTGGATTTGGCAAAGCCATTAGCATATCGATCTTGTTGACTTACATGTATCTAGCCCTTTCTCTGTCAATTTTCTCACATTCTACTGATTCATTATCAGCCACTACAAACTTTCATTTCTGTGTCAACATTTTGCACGATTGAAAATTAGCGTTAACATTTTAAGGGTTCTTCTTAAAATAAAGACTGCAATATGCTATGATAAATCCTTTGATTTATGACATCGGCGTACCGATTCCCGGCCATTTCGTAATTCATTTCTAAGCACCTAAAATTTAAAATTTGTAATTAATTGACGCAAGGATTATTTGACCCATGAAAATATAGTAAAAACTAGATATTTAGTTTTTTTACAGAATCTTAATAATATTGTTGTTTTATCATTATTTATCTTAAATAACATATGTTATGTTTTTTTTTTCAATTTTCAGAATTGTCCGTATGAACCCCAGACTTAAGTAAGTAAATTTCATCGACAATATTACTCTATTTGTTAAAGAAAATTCAATAGATTCTTTTTATTATTTGTTTCAACACTACATTAATATGTTTTAGTAAGTAATACTGGTGGAGACCAAAAAACAACACTTGTTTCCGTTGTGCTAAAATTGTGGATGAATACGTAATTTAACAAAGTTTTATTTATGCCGACAGTAATTAATGCATGCTTTCCACATATGTCACATTAAAACAAAGTAACTTTTGTCCAAAACAGTATTTCATTAGACAAAGTTACGAAATTATTCTTTAAATACACGAACCGCTGAACAATCTATTAATAATAACAGCCTTACCGTCTGTTTTCGCATTTAACATTCCGTACATAAAACTTTATGTTATTGTACATGTGTGTTAATATAAACAAAAATGAAATGAAAATAAAATGTAAAATTTTAATTAGTCTAATTTAGCTACTAGCACTTTTTATACAGTCTTTGTTAGATAGTGTTTTGTGTACTCCAGACCTAGTCCAACATTTAAAACAGATAAAGAGATAATTGGTTAGACCTAATTTTCAACATAACAACGAGTGAAAATAGCATTTACACCGACAAAGTAATACAATAGGATTAACACTATAACACAGTAATGCAATAGAATTAAAACTAATACAGTAAAACAGTTTTTACATCAACACAGTAATGCAATGTAGCATTTACAAAAACACAATAATGCAATAGCATTTACACTATCACGGTAATGCCATAGCATTAACGCTAACACGCAATGCAATATAGCATTTACACCAACACAGTAACACAGTATTGCAATATAGCATTTACACCAACACAGTAATGCTATGTATCATTTACACTAACACAGTAATGCAACGTAGCATTTACACCAACACAGTAATGCAATGTAGCATTTACACTAACACGGTAATGCAATGTAGCATTTACACCAACACAGTATTGCTATATAGCATTTACACCAACACAGTAATGCAATAGCATTTACACCAACACAGTAATGCAATAGCATTTACACTAACACATTAATGCAATATAGCAATTACACCAACACCATAATGCAATAGCATTAACACCAACACAGTAATGCAATATTAAAAATGTAGCTTTTATTTCGCTATGTAAAATATGATGCAATTGAGAAGTTGTCGTTTGGTGCACTAGTTTTTTGGACAAATGGATGACTGTAAACAAATATGTATTTGTTTGGTTCTCTTTTGTTCTTTATCATATTGTATATTTATACTTTATCTTCTGAATATATTTTATTTTTGCAGAAGACCCACAGTTTCAATGCAGGCGCCATATTGGTGACCGTCGGTCATTCTTTCGTTGTTGGTCACGTCCTTGGTCTTCTTTGTTATTTCGGACTCAATGTTTTGGCTGTACAAACTCATTTGCAATTGTACTGGTCCCATAGAAATCCCCATGAACCAGATTTCAACTACTGATTTAGTCATTCGAGTGTACTCCGCACGAATACCACGTGACACAAAGAACAATATGGTCACCAGAATGTCACGTGGTCTTTTTACAAAAAATGGAGATGGTGAATTTAAAATCATAAATGTGTATACGTGTTATTAATAATTATGGCAATATCGGTTGTTAGTGTTATTTTAAATAAATTGTATGTGGAGAGAATTGTGTCTTTATTCTGTTCAGTCCCCCTTCTCCCAAAAGCAAAACAAAAAGACCCGCACAAATTGTAAAAGGTTTTTAAAGTATATAAAGCTATATTTCTGCTGCAGAAATTATTGTTTGAATTCTAAAAAACAAAGAATTTCCAAAATTCTAAAATGCTTCTATTTGAGGCCATAAATCATTGCTAAGCTGTTAAAATCCTACTTAAAATGGCAACATAATATTTTGATATTTTGTTCCGGAACATTTTATTCTTTTTTACGTACAGTAGTCATAAGTGTTAAATAAAAATACAATTTGTGTTTTAACTTTTTCGAGAATCGATCATAAGGTTATTGAATCAATACAATAATATTTTACTGTTGATATATTATTTGAAAACATTTCATTAGATATAGATTTATACCCTTTAAGTTCCTTTAAGGGCAACCAGAAGAGAGCATAAAGTTTCGGAAAATGAAATTGGTTAAGAAATGTATACAAATATATACTCACGTGTTGTGCAATGGTTTACATGAAGACTACAAAGAATGGCTCACTATATATTTTTCCATCATTCGTATTTGTACCAAATAACGAACGGTGTGGGGGCTTATTCTGCCGATTTTGACGCAATTTGGTAATAATTTAACTGCATTGTAAAATGTCTTGTTTGGATTTTCATAGATACCTTACCGTTCACTTAACAATAAAATAACTAATTAGTACCCTCTCTGAAATTTCATAAAAAAAGCCAGAAGTGATATTCTGGATTCCCAAGTTCTGCGAAAAAGGAGAAGCAATCTTAGTCATGAACAGCGGTTGAAAGAAAAGAAAACACCTATGCCAAAAGTCAGTATATAAGTATGTATAACCGAGAACTTGAAAAAATATCTTGTTCCAAGAGTAAGTTTCAGAGGCATTCACGGATTGATTCTGTTAGATTTCGAGCCATTTTGGTCCCAACACGTTTCGGCTTTAAATTACGAAAGACGTTTCGGTCTCTGACTTATCGGTCCTTTGCCAATGCCGCTTAAGGAAACCAGATAGGGTGTGCACAGTAGTGGTTCATTTTCAACATTTCTGTCTTTCTTGCATTTATTGGTATAACTTAAGGGTTTGAAAATACACAAATGTAGTAAGTAAGCCAGCGCTCCATTTATATGCTCCCCGAAGGGTGAGCATATAGTCGCCGCTTTGTCCGTCCGTCCGTCTGTCCGTCCGTCCGCTATTCTTGTCCGGGACATACCTTTAAAACAACAAGAGGTATCAACATGAAACTTTGTAGGTAGATACATCTCATTGAGTAGATGTGCCGTGCACAAGAACCGTAACTCTGACTTGCCTATTTTTTTTTTATTATAGCCCTTTGTTTATTTCTAAAATTTGAACTTTGTCCGGGACATAACTCCAAAACTATAAGAGATATCAAAATGAAACTTTGTAGGTAGATAGATCTCATTGAGAAGATGTGCCGTGCACAAGAAGCTTAACTCTGCCTTGCCTATTTTTTAATCATTGCCTTTTGTTTGTTTTTACAATTTGAACTTTGTCCGGTAAATAACTCTAAAATATAAGAGACATCAACAAGAAACTTTGTAGGTAGATAGATCTCATTGAGTAGATGTGCAGTGCTCAAAAATCGTAACTCTGCCTTGTCTTATTTTGAATTATTTCCCTTTGTTTATTTTTACACTTTGAACTTTTTCCGGGACATAACTCTAAAACTATAAGAGATATCAACATGAAACTTTGTAGGTAGGTAGATCTCATTGAGTAGTAGTGCAGTGCTAAAGAACCATAACTCTGTTTTGTCTAATTTTGCAGTTATTGCTCTTTGTTCATTTTTACACTTTGAACTTTGTCCGGGACATTTCTCTAAATCTATAAGAGATAACAACATGAAACTTTGTAGGTAGATAGATCTCATTGTGTTGAAGTGCACTGTTAAAGAACCATTACTTTGTCTTGCCTTATTTTGGAGTTTTTGCCCTTTGTTCATTTTTATACTTGAACTTTGTCCGGGACATTACTCTAAAACTATAAGAGATATCAACATACAAATTTGTATGTAGATGGATCTCATTGTGTAGAAGTGCAGTGCTAGAGAATCATATCTCTGTCTTACCATTATTTTGGAGTTATTGCCCTTTGTTTATTTTTATACTTGAACTTTGTTAGGGACATAACTCTAAAACTTCAAGAGATATCAACATAGAACTTTGAAGGTAAATAGATCTCATTGGATAGAAGTGCAGTGCTTAAGACCCTAAACACAGCATTGTCTATTTTTTGAGTTATTGCCCTTTGTTCATTTTTAAACTTTGAACTTTACCTGGGACATTTCTCTGAAACTATAAGAGATATCAACACAATACTTTATAGGTAGATAGATCTCATTGAATAGAAAGTGCAGTGCAAAGAACCATAACTCTGTTTTGCCTAATTTTGGAGTTTTTGACCTTTGTTCATTGTTTCATACTTTTCTGGGTCCAAAACCTACTCGGGGAGCATCACCCGGTTCAACCGGTTCTTGTTTACTAGTATCCAAAGAAATAACAATTATCATGTTACTTCATTTATTGCATTTTTATTCAATCCTTCAATGCTAATTAAATTTGCTATCTAGATATGACATTGACCATATGTCACACTTCAGATGTTGTTAGGCAAATGTTCTCCTTTTCAAAGTTAAGGACTTTTAACCATAAACCGCAGATACCAAAAGTTATCAACCTTTGCTAGGAGCATAGAGCTAGGCCAGTCTGCACATTCGTGTAGTATGGCCAGGCCCTATACTGTCGGCAAGGATTAAAATCTCTTGGTTCTGTTCTAAATCCGTTTGAAAAACAGCAGGTTAAGGGTTAAAATTCAGTTGGATTACTTTACATACTTTAAGAATAAAATGTACCACAAAAACTTGTAGACTTATAATGAATTCAGTGACATTCAACTTACATATATTATATAATATTGTTACTCATCCTGAGGCAGTTGGGAAATGCTGCTTATAGAGATTGACTCAAACATTGCGTTCATAAAAATCGAGATTTCAATTCTTACTATATTTTAAAAAATCTTACAAAATCATACATTAACGATATGCAGGCAACGCCTTTTGTAATAGTATCACTCAAAATGAGCATGTGCTAGAATCGTGAATAATTGACAAATACTTATTCCAGTATATTGATATGAGATGCCTTTTCTGTAAACCACCAAATAATAAGGAACACAGGAGGACCCCAAACAAAAACAGGACATGGCACAAGGCAGAGCACGGACAGGCTAATCACTAAAATGACACATAGGAAGAAATAATTTGTAACTGATTAGGAATTCAATGTAACTGATAAGGAATTCAATGAACGCAACCACCACACGACCCAGCAGTAAGTGGCAAGGAGCCTAGGAGTATCCTAAACAAAAACAGGACAGGGCGCAAGGGAGAGCACCGTCAAGCTTACCTCTGTCTTCTGGATTACGAAAAAGTTGCAACAACGTGATTTTCAATAAACGCATTATCTTTGTCTGCCTTGTATTCATCTGGGACATATTTTATGACCGGGTCATATATTATGTCCCTGTTTTAATAAAGAGAAAGAAGTAAACGCTAATATATCGAGACTAAAATTAATACATTTTATGGGTTGTTTTTGCGTTGCCGTCATTTAACATTTGTTATATAGAACAATATACATGCCTCATGAAATATAACACACCTTGCTTTAGATTAACCGTGGAAAGGCTATTTATTAAATTGCAAAAAGAATTTCAGTATAGTAAACTCGTTTGTCTTTTAAATAAGAGGGCATTTACCTTGGGAATAAATGGTTATTTTATATAAAATTATGAAAATAGTTTCGGCTAAGTTTTAACAAGTAAAAAGGAAAATAACAGAATTACAAATTCAATTACATAGCATTTTTGTTTTTCCATTAAGGAACAAAAATATTTCCCAAAACAAATGGAATATTTTCGCGATGTTTACCAATTGAAAATATAAATCGGGGTTCACGATAAAAAAATTATTTAATTTTAAATTTAAAAAAATCAAATTTGTTTTAATTTCATAATGTAAACAAAAAAATTTTTAACCATTTTATATTCCCGCGTAAACCTTAGTTTTCTATGAATAAAAAATCAAAAAAAAAACCCGTAACAATGGGAAGAAATATTTCCAAATTGATTATGTTTTAGATTTAAAATTTTTTCGCCAAGTCGTTTTCTTATCAGGACTATTTTACCTTTCAAATTGTCTAAATAAGTAAGATTACTGTGCGCCGAAGGACTCATTCGTCACAGCACAATGACCTCCTCTTCCAATAAAAAATTCTAAATTATGATCTCAACTAGAAAAGCAAATAAAGCAAATCAATTTCATTACTACTAGTCTAATGAGGACATTCAGGCTGTTTGGACTTTGATTTATGTTTAATTTAGAATATTAGAATATACAGAGATAATTCAAGACTGCAGGAATTCTGGTTAAAAACTGTGAATGAAGTGAATATAAATTATTTGAAAAGTTTTTTGAAAAACCTCCGATAAAATCATGACATTGCTAATGCTGTAAAGCAATCTGACATTAATTCCTGTTGGAATGCAGTACTGCTGTAGTTTCTTGTTACTTTATGTATGTCGAGATTCGAAAAATGAATAAAAAATTTTATAATTCGCTTACTGTATTAGACTTAGTATGTGGTCTTCTACAGTTAATGGTCTGTAAAATAACCCAGTTAATTCAGTTACAACTAATCTACCTATATTCTAAATTTCATCAAAATATCTCAATTATAGTATTTTAAGTGTGAAATTTGTCACAAACGTTGTCATTTCGGTTCCGTCAACGCGAGAACATTTCTTATTGATTGTATATAAAAGGCGCCATTTCCATCATTAATTAAATGCCACAACTTTTTTATTTGTAAATATATTTTGAAAAGGAAAACTGTTCTGAAATTTGTTAGAAACCAGACTATAAAAAATATTGCTTCAAACATGCGGATTTTGTTTATTCAGGAATTTTTCTTCACGTAACTTTTAGGCTATGATTACCGAAAGTGACTGCAATAAAATGATTTTCCTTTATAATTAATGGTTATCATTCATTTAATTACCATTCAATTTTCAAATTAATTTAGAGATTCTACATTCAAATATAAATCCTATAATAGTAATTAAGATCCGTGATAAATAATTGTAACAATTATTAATTTATAAAAATACTTGCAATCTTGGGATAGACAGAGTCAGTCTATTATATAAGGGAAGTAACTGCTGCAGACTGGTCCGATACCTTGATTTGATACTTCGCGGACTTTGATTTTCTTTATGACTTCATTGGTTTATATTTTTAGACAACATCATGACGGCGAATTACACAAAATAAATTAGATTCGTTCGCTTAGTAAAATAGGTCAATATAAATACATGATTTGCAAGTATTAATTTATTCTTTCCATGGAAATAATATATTTATAGAAAATTACATGTTTTTATAAGTTGAGCGTTCTGTACTCATAATATATAAGCTTGTAAAAACCAAACTTAGTTTGCGAACTATATTCATTCTCGACAAGTAGCAGGACCTCCGCCATCTTTGTCACATGTCCATGATATTCCTCTCACATGACCTGTTGTTTGGCCCCGTGATCAAGCTGAAATAATCCTGGTAAATTCAAAACAGCGCAAACGTCCACATGGATATACTGGACGAGGCTTTAGATGGAAGGTATGACTGTAACCAAGTTTTAAAACAGTTTAATACGTTTGCAATTATTTATTTTGTAAAGTGTGTCAAGTTATTTTTCTAGATTTGACTTGAAAAATAACACGGATCTGAACGGCATGGCTCGTTCTCTTCACTTTCACTTTGGACATGCGACAAGGGACTTACTGAAATACGTGCATAAGAATAATAATGATACTGATGAAGTTTTCTTGATAAAACTACCAATACTGCAATAGTGGGCATGCAGTTGGTCATTTAGCCTTTTATTAGGTATACACTGATATATAGTCAAAATATATTGACGTGCCAAAGCTTGATTCTGAGATATTTTCGTTCTGGGGCAGAATCTCGCTTTAACGTCAAAACCAAAAGGAGACCTTTCTGTGGTGAAACGTGGATTTCGATGTAAATGTGAAAATGCAGACAATTTAAACTAAGAATTTATTCAACAATACAATTTTAAGGAATTAACAGCACAAAAAGTGCCAGACTATCAACTTAAAATAAAGTAAACCACGTTAGTTTCATTTCACCGTCTCGTTTGTGTACCAACGCCGCCATATTGTGATGTTGCTACAGTAATGTAACATGTACGCTAAAAATCGATATTGTTCGGTACCTTGCGTGAATGTTGTCATTTTTTTTTGCGTGGCTAAAAAATATGTAAAACTATTAAAAAGTGGAATTTTATCTTAAATGATGTTATTATTAATTATATTTATTGCCACAATAAAATAAATCGCCAGAAAATTATCTTTAAATATTTTTGTAATTCATGATAGAAATCTTTAAAATGATGCGGGGTAACTTTTAATTTAGTCCTCTTTTTTATAAATATGTTTATTAAAGGTTAAGGATAAACAAAATACTGTATTTCATTAAAATGTATATTGTCATCAATCTATGTTAGTATAGTTATGTTAGTCACAACTTGCTGTGTATTAAAAACAGCAACTCCTTGCCTATAGGAAAGTTTTGTTTTTGAAAGAATTCAAATGGTAAATTCTTGCGTTAACTTTTCATTCCTCAACTGTTTTCAGAAAAATAAAACTCGTTACTCCGAGCACCCATTTTTCGTTTGTCTGTATCTGAAAGAACCTGTGTACATGTACCATTTATCCGTGTAATAAAAGTCTGTTATCATAGCATGCCGTAATGTCCTGGATATTTCGTGTTGTTTAAGCGATGTTCCAGAAAAGTTTTGCAGAAAAGTTTTGTCCCGGTATAGAAAATATATTCAACCTAATATTTATTTTTAAAATGTGTCAACTACATGTATTCCACAACGCCGACACCGGTACGCTGGCCAATATACACTTCGGAAATGTTTACACTATTAATCATTGATGCGCAGTCCTGTTTCTTCCTTACTTAATTTCTTTGTGTCAACTATAAATTTATAAGATTAAATTTTAAATAAATAAATTTGATTTTTTAAATTCGAGCCGTGATTCCTTTCCGGAATCAGTTAAACAATTTCCATGCTGACACGGTCCAAATTGAGAAGTTATTTTTAGATTGTATTACATGTATTTATTTTTCAATTTATAATTATAAATATACTTGATGATTTATTTCAAAGACGACAGTTTTATGCTTACATTTCTTTCTATAATACATTTATGAAAGTTGTTTAAACGATGTTAAGAATTTAAATGTGTTACGGTCCCGAGTTTCCTCAGTACATTTTCCCGGCTTACCAATACGCTTTGAATTTACGCAAGATTTGCCAACTTTTTAAGTTTTGAGTTGTGGCATTTAATTATTAGGAACTTTTTTTCTGTTTTTCTTTCTAAATTTACTGATAGGTTATAATCTTAATTTTCGTTCTTTATCAAAAATTCAAAAAAAAATATTATAGAAAAAAGAACTGAGGAGGCGCCGTGATTTATTACCGATTTTATAAGTTCGTTTTCCAAAGCAACACCTTTTATATTTGGGCAGTAACAATCTGTATCTATTATTGTTTAAAATGATAATAGTGTTGAATAACACTTAAATCTTATAAGATTGGACGAGAATTAAAGAAATCACAGACGCTTTGGGTGTGAAGCTCAAAACGCCTTTAAAATCCAAATAAAATGTATATGGAGCCACGTTTGAATTTGTCGAAAGATTTTGTAAATGGAGTAAAACGGCGATAATCTCGATGTTTATTTTGCCAGTTGCATTGTTTATATTACCGTTGAAGTTTAAAATTGACCATCATCTTGAAGATTTATATCTTTTGTGTCAAAGGATTTTGTGAAAATATTGGAAACAGAATAAAACACATGGTGTTTTTGACGGCAGGTGTGCGGATTTTTTCCGGCGAACATTTTTATCTTGTGTATAGACGTTAAAATATATTTTTTTTTTCAAAACGGCTTATATTTAGTTTTTTATACATATATGATCAGTACATGTGCTGGTATTGACAAATATACATTTTATTTGGATTTTAAAGCTCCACACCCACAGTGCCTGTGAAAGAAATTAGCGGAGCAGCGTTTTGTTTATGTAACATTGTAAAATAATCGCGTTGATTCTTCAAATCTCACCTCGCCATGCATGTATTTTATAAAAGAAAATAATTTCTTAGCATAAGTCAATTGTATGGGATAAATATTTACTGTATACCAACATTATGAAAGTCTTTTGCAAAACAAAACAAAAACAATAACAACAGCAAAATAAGGCGGGGCACCTGTTTCATGAAATAAATTTCCGAGTATTTTTTCTCTGCTACCCCGGTCATTTTAAAACAATTTTCATACCTTCGTTTGTGCACGGATTAATATAAATCCATGGTTTGTGTGTGTCTGTTTCTTTCTAAAAAACATCTTCAGAAAGCTTTTTGGAGAAAACTATCCAGAATTATAGGCCTGCGTGAATATATTTAAAAAAAGAAATTTACGTGGAATTTTGTTTTCGCACATACATGTATAATGTCGAGGCACCGCGTTTGACGCTTATTCGTTTTATTATTGATAAAAATTATTTTGAACATTGAAAGTATCGTTTAATAGTTAATCAACCTGATTATAAATAACAGACTGTTAAATTCCTTAGAATGGTGTTTTCTCGTAGTCGCAAAGGCACTAGGAATCCGTACGTTGCTCTTTAAACATATAAACCTCATGTTTCTGCTCTTATCATATCCCTATTTCCATCATAATCGTGGGAAAAAAATTCTATAGATACCAATAGGTCACATGTCTTATATTTCCTTGGAAAGCTGACCAAAATATTTTTTTTTTATAAACAAGAAACGGTTTAGTAAGGAGTCCAATTACAGAGTATAGCTTTTCTATAAACGATAATAATGATTTTGATATTTCTAAGAACGCTCTGACAATAACGAATAAGTTGTGCATCTGCTCCAATAAAATAATATTTTCATCCTATCATAATTATTAATTTTTACATAAATAAATGTCTTAAATATAACATTAAACTTGATAATTTACTGAGAGTGTTTCGTCGTTTCTCAGTAACGCAGTACCGCATACACACCAGTGTAGTTATCAACAGTGTATTTGTCACGTGACATTAGCGGCGATGTCATTATTTTGATGGTGCATGTGTTTACTTTTCTATCAAAATCTTTATGTTAGGAAGATTTTCACAAATAAAACATGAAATTGATGTAGAAATGAATAATCTTTAAAGGTATCGTAACAAATTTATTCAAATATGAATTCTAATACGATTTTACACGGTCCAAAGCTTGCGCTCAAAATCCCGGCGCAAATTTCACCACAAAAAAGGTACTTTTTATGTTGTACGTAGAGGCGAGATATTGCCCAGACACGAAAATAGCACAATATCTCGTCGCGCAGTACAATTAGTTGGACTACACTGATATATAGCCATTAGGCCTACATATTTATCATGAATTCCTTTATGAACAGTGAGAAAATATTTTGGTCTTCAGTAAATATTAGCAGAACCGCTTAGACCATATAACTACACCATAACACAACAGTAGAAGGTGGCGCGATAGCTCAGTTGGTTAGACCGGTTTACAGACACTTCCAGGGTTCTCACTAGGACTTTAAAACATGGAGTCCATGGACTCCCAACCCTGAAAAAGTTGGAGTCCAAAAGCGCGTCGCAATTAATATGTTTACAGATTAGTTATTTAATGCTCACAATAGAATTGCTGATATTTTGAATCTTCAAGAGACTTTCAAAGTTTATAGTTATTCACAACAAACTCTGAACTACATAGTAAATTTATTGTTTTGTTGTTAATATTTATTCTAAAATTATTTCATTATAATGCATCAACACATGGAACTCGTTTTTTATTTTTCACTTTCATACCAAATCAAATTTTATTCTGGTAAAATAAGTCCACTCTAAAGACAAAAAGTTTATATTTGTAAAAAAAACGTAAATGTATATAGGAAGGGTTTAGCGGAATGAATAGGAAAATCGCGTACAGCTTCACACAGTGTGTAAGAGATTCATCTGATCGATAATTATTTTAGCAAATATCTTCAAAAGGGGGCAAATTGAAGATCGATATTTAAAGATTTAATGTTGATTGAATAATAAAGGAACAATTCATTCACATGTTTGGCTTGGAAACTGAGAATTTTTGCGAAATTTTAGGGTTTCTGGCGAAGTGAAATTGCCGATGTTCGGGATAAATTTTCTGATAAAATCTAAATATCAAAGAAAAGCGTATGTGTATTTTGGTTTGTTGCCCTGGAATTTCGGCACAAATCTCAAATTCTTAATACTCTTATAGAACGTTTTTGCAGGCATGAAACGAAAGCAAAATTTTGCCTAGAAAATGCTGAAAATATTAGACAATAATTCAAAATTACACTCATTTGTAATTTGAGAAAAAAGTCTTTAAACTTGCGGCGTAAATAGTCAATATTTTTATCCTTTTGTCGGTAAAATTTGCTAATTTCCAATTAACTGTTGATCAAATATATCTCGCGTTATATCTTTTAATTACACCTACAGCGCGTGTACATACATTAGTCTGATCTCTATTGCGTGAT